CATGCAGCAGTATCACACTCTAATTGCTGCTTGTCTGCCATTAGATAATTAGAGGTGTGGAGGTGTCTGAGAGAGCGTTTTAATGACGCTGCACAACACGATCTGTTATCAGCCTGGTATCAGACGGAGCCTGTGGCCTGCAGCTATGAACGAATCAAAAAATAAAACGCCAGAGGTGAAGACGGAGGACATGACAGAGAGACGGTTCTCTGCAGCAAGTCTTTGACACTGCAGCACAGCACACCGTTAATGTTAGTGATTCATATCACGACTGCTTTTCTTTGCTTTTTGTCTTTCCCTCCTCTACGCTCTCTTCTCCTGCTGTGGGTTTACATTCATTCTCCAAATGGAGAGCACTGATTATATACAACTGCCATTCCTTTGCATATAGGCTGATATAAAGTCTTTTAACTATTTAACAGTGGGGCAGCAAAACACTGCACTGAAGCTCCTCACTTGTAAGTGGATAAAAGCATCTGCCGAATGAGTAAATGTAAATCTAAACATTTTATTCATTAACTGTTTAGTATTTTTATTTTTATTTTTTTCAAACAGCAGATTGTATTTTTTGTATTTTTTCAGCCGTATTTTTAATGGTAGCAAAATACTTCAGGGAGATATTGTGATTTATTAAGCAGCTGCCATTTCACATTTTGGCGGATCATAGCAGGAAAAGCTCAGGTGTTGTAATACCGTCAGCAATGGCTCTGTTCTACTGTTTAATTTAAGTGTCACAATAAATCATAACGAGTCATAACGAGTCAAATGGCAGCACTTTTTTTTTTTTTTTTACTGAAATCTCAGAAAATCTCAGTTTTCTTGTCATATCTTTATTGTTTCCAGTGACGTGACTGTGACGGTGAGAAAACTGAAGCTGAAGCAGCCGAACAGAATTCAGCCATCGCTCATTTTAATATTTACACCTTTGCTTTTCCTTCACCGACATGCCTGTGAAAAAGTCTATTGTGGTTGTTTCCAGCTTCTTGGGAGTTTGTCTGTGTAATGTTGGCTAATTAAAGCTTAGTGGGAACTGCACTGTTCACCATAACATCTACAGTCACTTCACTGGTCACTGTCACGACAGTGTCTCCTGTGGTTTACCTGTTCACCTCCACACTGTGAGCACACCACTGTACCCGCCACACACCCCATTGTTTCTAATGTGACCGGCTCCATTTCCTATTCCTCCTCCCTGCCCCTTCATCCTGCCCCTCAAGTCCTCCTCCTCCTCCTCCTCCTCCTCCTCCTTTATCTCCACCTCCTCCTTTCATCCAGAAAAAGGCGCTGCCAACAGGACGGGGAAACCTAACGCACCGTCCTTTCATATAAACAAACCTGTTCCCCTCTCCCTCCCCAGCCCTTCTCCCTCATCCTAAAGTCTCTCTCTCCCTCTTTTCTCTTTGTCCTGATTCTATACAACCCCCCCCCCCCCCCCCCCTCTAATTTTTTAGCCTCTCTCTCTCTCTCCCCCTCCTCTCACTCTCTGTCTCTAGTGCTGGTGGTTAGTAGGCTTTACCGCACCATTGTTCTGGTATCTGCACATTTCCGGAGGCTGTAGCTTACAAAGGCTTCGGGAACACACTGTCTCACTCCCATTGCCTAATACTGGCTCTCACCTGCCCACACACACACACACACACACACACACATCTGAGGAGGATGTCAGTAGTTCAACAAAACTCCTACATTCCGACACAACACACACACACACACATACACAAACCTGTGAGAGAGATGAATTACAGAGGATTTACTTTGCATCATGAAGCAAACCCGGATCCTCTTTCAAGTTTTCTTTCCTTTCCTTCCTTCTTCCCTTCCTCCCCCCAGTTCCTTCTTTCCTTTAGATGAATGAGTTGGTCGCTCCCTCAGCTGAACACAATCACGCCACTTCATTAAAAGTACATAAGGCGCACACGAAAACGCAATGTCTTCATGGTACTTTTGCTAAAACAACAGGTATAATGCTCTTTAGTCTGATACGTTTTTAGTTAAAATTACAAGGGAATTTCTGCAGATGCACATGTGCACACACACACACACACACACACACACACACACACACACACACACACACACACACACACACACACACACACACTTTCACACACACAAGACCATTTTCCTGCAGGTCCTCCTTCCACCCCCACCCCCAGAGCAGAAGAAAAGAAGAAGAAAGTGAAAAGAAAAAGACAGGAGTGGAGGCACTGCTGGTTCTTTTGTCACTGTGATCAGCTTGAGGCCTTTCACCCTCTCCCTGTTTCTCTCTCTGTCACACACACACACACACACACACACATAGACACACACACACACACACACCAATTAACCCCGTCTCTGACCCGGGGGTTTGGCTTGACCTTGCAGCGCGTCCTCAGAGGCGTCAGGACTCTGAACAGACAGCTCCCTATCTCTGTAATGACAGTGTGCGAGGTTTATAGACACACACTTCACGTCAGACACACACTTGTTCACCTTTCCGCTCTAACACACATCCTCTTCTCCTGTTTCCTCCTCTATTTTTCCTCTAACACACTCTCAGCTGATCCCATCTCTCTGTAGCTCTTTTGTACTTGTTTCCTTTCAAGAAAATCCTCCACCACAACTCCTGAATGTTCTTCTACATCTCCGACCTTTGACCCTCTAACTCTGAGACTCGGCCTCTATGGTGAATACTTGTTCTCTTCGAGATGAATGAGCTTCTGCTTTCAACGCTGAGGTACCAGATCACATAAAATCAGAAACGGGTGATTTATTTTAGATGGACGGAATTTTTCATGCAGCCAACAACAAGCAACAACAACTAAAAACAAACACACAAACAAAATCCACAGATGATGCTCTCCTCGACTACTTGGTGGAAACCTGAATGTATTTTGAGATACTTGTATAAACCTCTTGATCTTTCATCCATTCAGTTAAATTATTTTTAAAGTTGTTGGACCATTTTTAAAGAATAGCTACAATTATTTTTCAAGCCTCGCCTTAAAACAGTTCTCATATGCCCATATCTACATGGAAACAGATTCCTTGTATTCACTCTGGATGCAAAGTGATTTCAAAATAAATGTCGGGGACCTCATTTTCGATCCACTGAAGACATTTTTTACAGATGATTTTTAGGTTTTTTGCCTTAATTTGACGGTTAGTATAGAGAGAGAGAGGAAACACGGGAAGAGAAACGGGTACGACATCTAAGAGCTCTGTCCGTAGAGAAATGCACACAGCCTGTATTCAGAAACCGAGCCTTAAAACGAGCCGTCACGACTTCTGCATCTTTGTGATGTCACAACACAGCAGTCACCGCTCTCTGCCATGCCCCAAGCCCCGCCCACCTGGACCCACCACCCTAACCTTGCAGGATTTGGTTTCTATAAGTGTTCACCTGAAATCTGCTATTTTTATCCGGTCACTCAGAAATGATGGTTTTTGGTTCTTAACAAACAAACAAACAAACAAACAAATCTTCTTATGGATCAACACTTCAAATAAAACACGGGAAAAGGTGTAAAATGTGGGACCTTTAAGGAATCTGATGCCTGAGCAACTGAAAACCTGACTTTAAGCCATATTTCTCTAAAGCATAAATCATTCATGACTAAACACGCAGCAACCACAGCTTACATCTTTATGTATTATTTATTCCCTGCATGTCATTACCTCGCAACCTGTCATGGATGCTGTGTGTGTCCTGAAAAGTCCCAGCGAGCTTTGTCAGGCCTCACAAAGAGCTGCAGTGTTGATCAGTGCTGATGTGTGAGGGGACCCCCGGGTGCTAACAGCAGCCACTAATAAGACTTTAACTGGAGCGACGAGCCCATTGTCTTCCAGCTCCAGGGAACAATGTGTGAGGATGCGTTTTATTGAAGGTCATTACTCAGATTAATCTTTAGCTCACTGAGAGGTGAAGGTGTCAGAGAGAAACACGGAGGAAAAAAACTTTTTACTGTTGTTTTCTGGCTTTAAATGAGATTTTAAAAAAAATACAGCGTATCTAGTGAAAAGTGTGTGTTTGGTTTAAATCTGTGCATTTCTCAGACTTCCTTTATGTCTCTCTCACACACACACACACACACACACACACTGACATTCATACACGTACATGCAGCACTGGACACACACGCATCCCAGAAGGTTCTTGTGCAGTGCTGTAGGTAGGTGTGGAGTGGGTGTCTCTATTTGCGGACTCAGCTGGGCTGTTTTAGGAGGACCATAAACAGAACGACACCACCCACAGAGAGAGAGAGAGAGAGAGAGAGAGAGAGACAGACAGGGAAAGACAGGGATGACCCCAGAGACCAGGAGGGCACTGGGGGCCCTAAAAAAGAAACATCAGCTATCTTATCTCTGTGCATGTTCAGGCTGCTGCTGCTTCTACCTGAGCGTTCACTGGCTTTGTGTTAAACTGACTGCAGGTGTGGTGTATTCTCAGAGATGTTACAGCAAAATGTACAAGAATAAGTCTCCTATTTTTAATTGATCTTTTGATCTTGACTTGTTTTCTTCACTATGGAAGAGTTAAATAGATGAAACTGTTTTGTGTGTGTGTGTGTGTGTGGGGGGGGGTAAACACATGGTGATTTTGATTCAGATTTGCTTAGATAATGGAGGTGAACAGATTCTTCTTTTAAACAGCTTTTACACTGCAAACATATGAATTTTAAAGTAGCTCATTCCCTCGTGTTAAAATACTTTTGTTTTTATCTTCAAAACAAGTGAAAGTTCTGCCAGTGGGCTGAGATAATATTCTCACTAAATGGGATCCTCTGGGGGAAGATCTTGAAATCACTGCTAACAACAAAAGTCTGCACATTTTCCTGAAAACAAGACTCTCCAAACTTAACATGAATGTATAAGCTCCATATGTTCCAGAGACTAATAGGATGAAGCCCAGTGACCTGGAGACACTTCATACACCTCCACTGAATGACTTCTGAGGATTTGTTGTGGAGCAGAAAACAGGGATTGACTTCAAAGCGCTCGGTGTACAGTCTACTTACCACAGAGGAGCGTTAGCAGTGAGGCTCGCATCTCTGAGCGCACATCAACCCCGGGGCTGCAGGAAAACCTGTGGCATCAAACAGAGGGAGTCCAAGTCAACACAGCGGTATCGACCTACGCATTATAACCTACTCCGCAGAGCACTGCAGAGAGCACCGCCGTGACTGGGATTTTTAAAGTTGGATGCGAGTGAAACAGTGATGGGAAAGGCAAAGCTACAGTGCATGAAGTCCACAGCAGGAAAGCGCTGTAACTTTGGGTGAAGTTTGCCTGTTGTATTTTCTCACTGGAGGTCTCAACTGAAGACACTCGGGGGGGAGCGTTTAAGAGAAATTTTCACAAATCACAAATTTTCAAAAAATCACATTCAGTTTTGACGATGTAAATCCCCACGACAGTTTTGGTGAAATCTCCCGGTGCTGTTTAAACCGGTTAATTAAAAAAGACATCACTCCTCTCAGATGAGACTCGTTGAGGCAAAATTTTACAAGTTCTCCAGCGTGTTCCTCTGTCTGGTTGTGTTTTTCCCTTAAAAAATAAATTTAAAAATAAAAGACTCACCGTGTCGGTCCTGTGTCAGATGTTCGCTCCTGTGTTGTGTTTGAAACAGTCAGTCAGACTCTCCTGGTCCACTTGCTGCGGAGCTGCCGGACAGAAGGGAAGCTGAGCAGCGTTTCCCAGCTCTTGCGCCTCTCCGTTGGAAACCCCGCGCCGGAGTTTCGGACCGGAGCGGAGCCTGGGAGGCGGGCTCGTTGTCCAGGAGGTCGCCGGTTCGATTCCCATTTTGGGCGCATGAAATATGAAGGTCTCTCTTTTCTCTTTTTTTTTGTTCAACTTTTTTTCCCCCATGAGCCTGTACTAAACAGTGTCCATTTAAAATACACGTGCACTTTGATCAGTCTGCATAGATTTGTCTCCATTAAACATCTCTTTTTATGGGCAAGAGCGATATGTAGCCTAGGCTAAAAAGAAATTTACAGGTTACAGATAGCCTACTCTGAACATGAAAAACTTTGAATAAATATTTTGAATAAACATAATAATATATATATTTTTTAAAAACCTAATGCTCAAATAAAAATAAAAAAAACAATATATAGAGAGAGTTCAGTCAGTCAGTCAGTTTGTGGATCTATATCAGACTTGATCATCTGTGTTTTGGTGCAACAACACAATAATAACATACACTTTACACTTCAATCTGCACACGCACTCAATGTCCTCAATGTTACTATGTGCTTAAATTAGTTAAATCCTGATTACCATTATTGGCACCATCACCCTAGATTTGCCCCATTAGTCACGGTGTTGTCAATAAAAAGCATCTAAGATGTCCTAAAAATTACTAACATAATAATATCAAGAGATATACAGACAATTTATTATCAGAAACCAACACATCACAACTCGAAATGCCCCCTGGGATACCAAACACTAGAGCAAACCAGCAGGGGGTCAATAAACAGTGATGATATGAACAGACATTGTTTCGTGTGAAGTTTTAAACTAAATTTTTGATTTGAAAAATGGATTCCTCCACAAACCCACTGCATGTTTTCCGACGAGCCCCTGCCTGTGCACCGTGCAGCTCTGACCTGCAGCAGGAATGCGCGCTCCCTGCTGTACGGATTAGATTCCCTTTGATTGCACCCAGAGCAGCCCGTGCCCGCGCACAGATCTCAGCTCCCCTCAGCTCTCTCTCTCTCTAAACATCAGCTTCATCCAACAGGTGGTCGGGACGGTTTCTCTTAGGACTAACAGCAAGGCACACAGTGGGAAACAAATCTCAAGTCTATTATCAGAAAAAGAGATCATCATGTAGTTTATGTTTGATCCAATGAATTCATCAGGTGTACAGGTGTTCACTCTCTACCACAGGTGTCTGAGCCTCACTGCTACACAGACTGTTCTCCAGGACAAAGCCTGCTGTAAATCTCTGTCATATTACACATTCCCTGTGCTGCCGGAGGACAGCCTCTCTTTGTTAGAGCCCAGGATCCAGTGCCAGAACCCTACGGAGAACAGCGCAGCTCCTTGAGAACAGCAGAGGAATGAGTGCAAGTAGACACAGATCAGCACCACGCCATAGAAAAGAGCCTGTGGTTGAACAGAGCTCCTTTAGGGACCCTGAACACCCACACAGGTGGTTCACAGGTGTGGAGGAGAAATGTTGGGAAACATGGGGTCACCAACCTGCACAGAATGATAGAAGTTATTTCTACTCACTGTGTGTACTTTTACTCCACTACATTTATTTCACAACTAAAGTTACTTTCCAGATTAAGATTCAACACAAAGACACATATGATAAGATTATAAAATACAATAGATTGTTAAAGATTAAACCTGCGGTTCCAAACTTTCTGACAAAATAAACAGTGTCTACTTTGGGCCCTTCATCACATTTCCGACATCTGTGCGACGTCAGCTGTTCCACCAGGGTGATTTATTAAGATGGTTTTGTTGAAATAACAATTTGAGGCACAAACATGTAAAATTATCTGATATTTCCCAACAAATAACAGTACAGAAATATAAATATGTGTATATCAGAAATGTTTTGTTTTCGTCTCATGTTAATCAGAAACTCCCCAACTATATGAATTAGTTTACATTAGCTCTGTATCCACCAGCTACAACAGCAGAATTATTTTTATGTATTGATACATCAGATGCTTTTATCTAAAGCGACATCACTGAAGCTTCAGTGCAGTAACAGGTCAGGTAAAGAAGTGGAGTGAGTGTGCTTGTTAAGTGCTAGGTTTCCATAAAATACTACGATAGCTCTTTATATTTGTCACAGGAACACCAAAGATGAGAGCTGACTGTTTCTGAAATGCTGTTTGGTGCAGAGCAGGTAGTGTACCGTGGGTTTTCCCTGCAGACAGAGCGGTGAGAGTGAACCAGAGCAGTACGAGTACAGTACATTTACACACAGCCTTGAGTTAGGAGAAAACACCTCAGTAGGTTTGTTACAGGCTTTTAACGGGCCTTTTTCACTGCTGACAGTTTGACTTGTCATAGTGGGAAAAGCACAGGTGTTCTTTTCTATTAAGAGTCCATTAAGAATCAGCATACACACCAGCAGGGCCCTGGAACTGGCTCAGCTAAACGGAACATAATTATCATTCTTAGTATTAATAACACATTTGCTAGAAGGATGATGTCAAAATGTGTGCAGTGAACAGCTGATAGGAGGGAGGTAAAGAGAGATGGAAGCCGAACAAAGAGAGAACACTGACTTGCCATGTATACGCCTCCCCCTTGTGGCAATGGACACACATTATCTCACAAACAGGACACATGATGTCATGAATTCAAACTATATCAAATTTATTGTCTCCATCGTTTTGCTTACAGGAATACTTGTTTATGCATTTAGATGTGTTTAATCAAGAGCCTCATTTGTAATAAAAAATAAACACAAAATTTAATTTGAAAAATCAATCTTTTCAATGTATTTCTTAATAGGAATGTCATATTGTAAATACCATAATAATGTGGTCAAAAACACACAAAATCTTGAAATTATTTTTGGTCAAAATAACTTTCTGATAACATACTCTGATATATTTCTTCTGTTTATTATTCATGAAATCAATGACCGTGGCCTATACAATGAAACAAATACTCTCCACAGGTCGTCCACCTGTTGTAATAGCTTAAAGACATAAACACCACACAGGTTAGTGTCGATATCTAGGAGTCAAAAAGTGGTACAGTACATGGACAGAGGAAGGGTCTTTCTGTGATATAACACTTAACAGGTAAAATGTGTAAAAGTTGAAATACCAGTGACAGAGCGGAGGCACCAGAGCAGGGTTTTATTCTCATGGGGGATGTAGTTTTCTGTCCCGGGCACAGCATCAGTCACACTCCGCTCTGGACTACAGCAGCGAATGGTAAACAGGGAACTGTAACATCCTCACACACAGTTGCTGTACTTCTGCACTTGTTCCCGGATCTCGTCCCGCACCACGGTGGCATTTTCTTTCAGCTCGTCCAGCTCCGTGCGCTGCCTCTGCATCCGCCGCTCGTTGCTCTTGAACCTTTTCTCCAGTTCTGCAGCAACAGAGAGAGACAGAGCTCAACACGGGTAAATCTACAGAAATCTTGCCTTGATCAGGGTGGTGTCTGAGATCGTTCCAGGTTTCTTTAGCAAACCAGAAACAATATGAAGTGACCTGAAACGGTCTCAGACACAATCCTACTGACGGCTGTTCAGCCAGACACTCATATGATTTAATGATCACGATATGCCAGTGGTGCCACGGTATTAAAAACTATATTTTTTTTCTCTGTCCAATTAACCATTAACCATTAAAAATATGCTGAAATGTCTATTAGCACTTCCTGTTTGCAGTGTACCAACGCATGCACAGACAGCTCCCACCGGATTACTCCAATAACAAACTTCCTGTTGTTTTCACACCACCAGCGTACACCTGCCCCAGTTACACCTCACTCTCTCTCCCTCCTCATTTCCCCTTCACCTCAAAGACTGAACACCTCTCAACCTGACAGAGGTAAAGGTAGCAGTTAGAAATATTTTAAGGATACTGACGACAAAATAACAATTTATTCCACTTTCTGCTCTTAAACACCTGACAGATATCACCGTGTTCTCACAGCACATCCTTCACAAAACAGTAGTTTTCATTACGCTACGTTATTCCTCACAGGCAAATCATGCTAAAACGTGCAGAACGGCCCACACACGCTGTACTCAGCCCACATAACGAAACGATATTTAACACAGAGAGCAGCTTCATGTTCTCACTCTGCAGTTGTGTGATCCCTTTGTTGGCTTTATTCAAGAGGTCGTCTGCCTCCTTCTTGATATCCATTGCCCTCTGGTTGATGCTGTCCAGACCTCCGGCCTCCCCACCCAGAGAGTCCACCTTATTCTGCAGCTCACGGTAACGTTTCTCTGTGTCGTTGAGGCTCTGGGAGTCAACACAATAATGTTACTTATGACTCTTAGAAACATGACGTATTATTTTTTCAAAACAAAAGCACAAACACAAACTGGCTGCCCACATGCGTACCTCCTGCAGTGAGGATGCTAGGTCAGTGGCGTTGTTAGCCAGTGCTTTGGCGTCCTTTGCCATCTGTCTGTTCTGCTCCGTCTTGTTCCTCAGAGCCTCGACCCCCATGGAGAGGTTGTTTAAACGCATCATGACGTCCATCTGCTTATCCTCCAGCTGCCTCAGCCTCTCCTCCACCTAGGAGGAAATAAGACATTAAAGAGCGTACAATGAAGTGTGCAAAGGAAGTGATGTGGGAGAATATAATATTCCACGTTGGAAAGATAGAGCAGCGCTTAAAATAAAATACTCCATGGGAAGGTGGTCTACTTGTCTGTTACTCAGCAAAGGAAGTAGAGCAGTGAAATTTGCAACTTCACACTGTGCAGCTAACAAGTTCTCCCATACAAACACACAGTCACTGTTCAGACATGCTGTACCTCAGCGGTGGCGTTCCTTGTGCTGTTGAGGTTAATGTGGGCCTCCTTCAGAGCTGTCCTCGCTCTCTCTATGGCGTCCTCTGACATGTTCAAAGCCTGCTTTGTGTTGATGGCTGTGTCCTTTACTCCCTCTGCTCGCCTCCTGCACAAAGACACCGCACAGAAAATGTCTTTACTGTAGTCAGGAACAGGGACTGGTTATTGAACCACAATGGATTGGCAATTATAGCAGTTCAAGCTTTCATTGCATTTCAATTTCATTGACCTTTTAAATCTGTAGAATAGGAGAACAATTGGTGGAAAGAAGGGAAAGAGAATGAACTCGACATCCATGAAAGGTGATTTGTGTGTGTGACGCCACCAACTGCAGCCAAACTACAGCCGTGCAAATCATGGCTTCTGTATCTCCTGTATCTTTTATGGACTGACTGAACTGTGGAGTTTGTATCGCGCTGTGGGTTTATGGGTTCCTTTTATTTAATAGTAAAGCTAAATAGCTTCTTACTTGGCGTCTTTAGCTTGGTCGAGCAGCTCCTTGGCTTTGCTGATGTACTGCGAGGTTTGGTTGACGATGCCCTCGACGTTGGTGAGGTTGGACAGGCTGTCCTTTATCTGCATGATCATCTTGTCCAGGACGGTCCTGTTGACCGGCAGCGTGATCGCCAAGACCTGCAGAGCCACCTTCTCTATGCTCTCTGGATCTGCTCCCTCCTCTGGACAGCAGGGACGACAGAGGGACAGTTAAACACCACAACACACTTTCTCCTGCTCCAGGTCAACTGAATCATGACTGCAACAGTTAACTTCATTTAGGGCAAAGATTACCAGTGAAAACATCACCAACGCACCAGTGAGAAAGTCTCTGATCTTCTTAATGAAATCTTTGAGCTTCTTGTTGTTGTTTTCGAAGTTGTCCTTCTTTTTCCTGGCTTTCTCCAGCGTTTTCATCGCCTGCTTCTTCACATCCTGCGTCAGAGAGTCTATTTCCTGGAGCTAGATTCAGGAAAACACAAGTCAACATTGAAACTTTATAGTCCCAGGAGCCGCCATCGCTCCAGCTCTATATTCTGCGTAAATGTCGTGTTTTAACACTTTCATCACCTTCCTGACGGCGTCCTGCAGCTCCTCGTTGGCAACGTTCAGACTGTCCGTCACGTCCCTGGCGAGATTCAGCGCTGATACAGAAGCGCTCACCGTCCCGTTGCATCCCTGACCTCCACACACACGATTACCCTGATCGTCGCGGCAACCGGCACCACCACATTGGCTGTCTGGGCAACTGCCATCTACGCTGGCATTGCTATGACCACCACATACCTGAAGGGAGCAATTATGCATCGTCACTCTCATGGAAACGACTGAGTCAGTGGAAACAACGTGGTTTATCGATACAAGAACCAATATTCTAATCAATTTTCTTCCTCATGCTGAATCTGCAAGAATCTGTGTCAGCTACTGAAAGTAAACTATACTTTATGAAGCTAGAAAATATAAAACATTAAGATAAAAAATATGTATATAAACATTACACCATATATGTTATATAGGAGGTGAGACATAGATTTTGTATATCGTTTATTATTATCATTATTTAATTACTACATTTGATACGAAAAACACGATCTAATTTAATTGTTTTTCTGCACAATTCAAAACTAAAAAATGAGAAAAATGAATGTGTTTTCCCGTGGTCGTCTTGAAGTGCGTGATCTAATTAACGAGAAAAAACCCCCCCCATAAAAATACGTAAACATTTTCTGTGTTTCTGCACCTCGGAGTAAAACTACTACTGACAATTTTAACATTCACTGCTGGGTCTCTAACCTGTTATGAAGATGCAGACATTACAAATATCCAGACAAACTACCCTGAACTAAACATTGTAATGACACTGAATCAGCAACAGATCAACAGCAGTGACGGAGGCAGATGAGAGTTATTTATTGTTCACAGCCTGTGTGTGTGTTATAAACATTTACTTATGTATTCCTTGAAGATTTCCCTCCTAAAAATAATCCCCATACAAACGCAAAGTGTTGTGTTGTCACCGTGTGTAATCAAGCGCTGCTGTTTTGACCTCCTCCATCACTGATGAAGATGAGGATGACGGGTGCTAGGGTTCGTTGTCATGAGATATTCAGGGTGTCACAAATAGAAAAGTGGAAATGTCTGTCACCGAGATCTCAACTTTAACTAATTACTAAAGAAGCTGCTTTTACGACTTTTGGCCACTAGATTTCACTGTAGGACTGATTCATGAAAACTTAAAAACACTCATTAAAACACATCAGGACAAAGAGAGACTTCACATGGATTTCGCTTCAGGAGACGTGAGACTCTCTATTGCCAGAGACTATTTCTGGACAGTCTCATTTATTTCGGTGATTCTTTTGATTATAGAATAAGTTTCTGTGATCACTAATGAGCCTCACAGTCAAGACCAGTATCGGTCATGAACAGCACTCCCCCATTGATATATTTCTCTCTATATATATTCATTCAAATATTTTTCTTTGACTGTACATGGTGAGGAAACACAGTGCGAAACAAAACAAGAGAAAAATGGCAGTTTTTTTTCTTTTTCTAAGATTTTCCATTTTCCAGATTTAATTAATAAGCGAGTGAACGGACGATAAATGCAGTCAGTACAAACAAGCACATCAGATTTTTTTATGGAGAATTTTCAGCACCAGATTAAGACTTTACACAATGAGGGAGACAGTCGCATGAATAAATAAACTCTGCCTACCTTGTGACTGAGGTGATGCACCTTCTTATCCAGGTCGTGGGCCTTGTGCTGCAGCTCGGTCAGCGATTTGTTCTGTGCGGCCAGAGCTCGGAGGAACTTGTCTTTACTGGCATCCAGCAGGTCTTCAGTGAGACCGCGGGTTTCTTTGGACTGTTCCACCGGACTGAGAGGACCGTACACCGAGGCGTTGCATTTCTCTGCAGCCTGCACTGACTCCTGATAGTATTTCTTCACTTTCTCAAACTGATCTGTGAGTGGACGGGAACACCGATGATTAATACCTAATTGTTTGTATCAGACGTTTGAAGGTCAGCAGACACTGTGTTGGTGATTTAATGTTTTTCTAAGAGTCACTGGTTTATTGAGTTTACTACCTGCAAATCCTGAAGTGAGGTAGTCATCCAGCAGGCGTTGTTTGTGAGCCACAGTGTTGTTGATGTCCCTCAATTCCTTCTCCAGATCATTCAGTGTGTTTCTCAGAGCCCCTTCTTTTTCTGCTGTTGTGTTTAGTTCTCGAGTGACGCCCATCAGACGCCCGTCGGTCAGGGCGATCTCAGCCCTGGAGCACATAGAGCAGGGTATTTTATATACTATTTACTTAGTTAGCGCGTGGCAGGGGAACAACACAGTGTGGTATCCTCACCTGAGGTCATCGATGCTCTGCCCAATCAGCTGGTGGATCCGGTCGCTGTCCTCCGTACTGATCAGATCCTGCACCTGCTTCAGCTTCTCTTCCAGCTCTTTGATGCGCTTGTCCCCGACTCCCGGCGTGATCCCGCTCTCCTGGATCTTCTGTAAGGTGTACTGGATGTGTTCCAGGTCCCTTTTGATCTGGCACAGCGCGTCGTCCCACAGCTGGAAGCACGGGTGACACTTGACACATTTGGGGAAGGCGCCGGTGAAGCCGCGAGCGCATTCGTCGCACCGCTTCCCTGCCGCTCCCTCCCGGCACTCACACGCTCCCGTTGTCCGGTCGCACTGGGCCATCTCTGAGCCCAGCGGGTGACAGTTACACTCTGAGTAGAAGAAGAGAGGGAAGAGGGTGAAGGACACAGGAGAGGAAGAGAGAGAGGAAACACAACAATAATGGTGCAGGTGAAGCATGTCTTACAGAAGCCGTTAGAAAGAGTTCTACTGCCTCAAAATGCTAAACTGTGAGCCAGATTTATTAACATCAATTAAATAGTGCATGATAATCATGTGAATTCATTTAAACAATAAGGACATGTAATAACACACAAAGGGAACAAAATAAAAGCGGTGTGAGATGATGGCACTGACACAGCTGAAGTTTCACTAACTCCAAATGTCTCGTCCAATGAAAACAGAGCGCACTTGCAGCTTGTTCTAATTGAAGTTCAATTATTAGAAATCACAACTCTGCACCAACTGTTAATTGGATTCTGTTTTCATTGATAGTTATTGCTTTACGTTCTAAGAATCCATTTCTCTTTATATACTGGCTCATATTTTTAATAATAATAATTTAAATTGTAAATCTTTTAACAACTGATGCTGCTCTAGCTGCTGCATATCTGCAGCAGGTTACTGCAACTCTTCCCCCTCTTTCTGCTCGCTCTGCAGCATGATGGAGCTGTGATGAAATGTCAGTATTAAAAAAGTGTTTGTTCGTCTGTGGGATGAAAACACAGTGAGGTCCAACAGTTTGTATATCAGTTTTTACCTTTTATCAAACTTGCACTGGATTAATCTAAGAGCAAAATCAAGAGCTAACATTTCACACTAGTCTAAAATATCTCTGTAAAACCAGCCCCTGGTTGAGGTGGAGAACTTTCCATGCAAAAATACAGTGGGATACATAATCAATCTTTGTTAACATCTCTTCTCAGCCTCTTCTCCTATTAGCATGATGATTAGCACCTTCTGCATTACTACTTCTCTAAACAGACTAAACTAATATGTGACTAAAATCCATCATCATGCATCATTAATAATCTATTCCTGTTCACAAGTACCACCGTCACAAGGTGAGTTACCTTGACACTGCACCTGTGGGTCTCCCCAGTGGAACTGCTCACACTCGGTGCACTGTTTCCCCCCAAAGCCTGGACGGCAGTGGCACTGGCCTGTGAACTGTAGAAGACAGAGAGAGACAGACGGATGATGATACAAGCTTAAACTTTTTGTCTACGTTCACTGTTGCGTGAATCATTTTTCATGCCCTCCGACACCCTCACGCTTCCTCACCATGTTGCAGTGAGATCCCAGCGCGTGTTGCGGGTCGCAGTGACAGGGCTCGCAGCCTCGGTCCTGACCGTAGTTCCAGTGGTTTGGAGCACACTGGTCACAGTTGTGGCCGGCAACGTTCTCCCTGCAAGGGCAGGCGCCGGTCTGCCGGTCACAGTGACACTGTCCGTCACCGCAAGCAGACTGGACCGTGCCAGCACTCACACAGGTGCAACCTGAGAAGAAAATATGTTTTCAGTGACCTGACAGTCTCTACTCTGGGCGTACGCGCTCCACAGCAGGAAACAGAGATGAAAACAAAAGGTTGAGACACACGTTATCCCTCCGCTTTTTCTCTTTAAACTTAAAACTGAGAATGAAGTTGGTGTTACATCACACACTCACATTTTAGACGTATCAACTTAATTAATTTTAACAACAGAAGTAGCTTTAACTCCTACACCATCGCAAATACAAAATATATTTAATAACTGCCATCATTACTCACGTCTGCAGTCCTGGGCCAACGCGTTGCCATAGTAACCGTGTTGACACTGGGCACAGGACGGGCCGTCGGTGTGGTACAGGCAGATGAGGCACCGGCCGGTCCTGGGGTCACACGACTCGGGGTCCTGGGTGTCGATGTTGCCGTTGCAATCGCACGGCAGGCACCGCCCGCCCACTTGCTCAGGGTTGCCATAGTAACCAGGGGCGCACCGGTCACAGCGGGACCCTGGGCGAGAGAGGGGAAGAATGACGGCTAGCTCTTATACTTTAGTGTTAGATATTGAACGGTTCAGCGCTGAATCAGCCACAGATTGAACACATAACTATTTCTGATGACAAGTGCAAGTAGAAAGCAGCAGACCTTCAGAAGAATAAGAAAAAATAAACTGTCACTGCAGTGTAATAGTTTACCGGTGTAGCCTTGTTTGCAGTTACAGATGATCTGGTTAGAGCTGTGGTCAGCTTGACAGGACTCTCCGTTAAAGTGGTCTGAGCCGGGGTTACCGGGGCAGGGGCAGGGCCGGCAGTGCTCCCCTGAGCCAAGCATCGGGTTTCCAAAGAACCCATCCACACAACTGGGACAGACGAGGGAGACATTTACCATCAGTCTGTTCACCGGGGATAAAGGAGCCGAGTGGAATCTGAAATCTCGAGTGAAATCTTCCTTACCGCTCACAGAAGTGTCCTGCTGTGTAGTCCCTGCAGTCCGTACACTCCCCGGTGCGGGGGTCACAGAGATCTGTGTGGCCGTTGCACTGACAGGGGCTGCAGCTGGGGAAGCCCCACTGGCCCAGTTGGCAGTCTGAGCACGCACGCCCCGTGGCTCCCTGCCGGCACTGGCACTGGCCGGTAACTGGGTCACACTGGTGGCTTAAGGATCCCTCGGAGTGGCAGTCGCAGGCTGGAGGAGAAGGTATTTAAAGGGTTAATCACCGCCTCCCTATTGATAATCACTGTTTGTGCCTCTTACATGGAATCAGCATTTTTGTTTTTTTGCTGTTGTAGTTAATATTTTCTTTCTGGACAGGTCTAAAAAACGTGGCAGTGATGTCTTTTCCAAACCATTAGATTCCGTATTTGCTTCATTTTCCCCAGTTTTTTTTTAAGGAATATGGGTGTAACTACGTATATGTAAAAGCCATGACTCTTATCTCTGACGCTGATGTGTGTTTATCATGTCAAACTGTGATCTTTGTAAGTATTTGTACTTTTGTTTTGTTAGATTATCGGATCACATAAATCATAATTTAAATCAAATTAAATTAAAATATATTATCCTCACATCTGTAAACAGGTGTTACCATGTGACACTCACCAGTGCAGCCATTCACTCCAAAGCCGTAGGTTCCTGGGGCACATCGGTCGCAGTGTCGACCCATGACATTGAGTTTACAAAGGCACTGACCTCCGACCCTATCACACTCACCGCTGAGGGAACCCTGAGGGTCACACTGACAGGCTGCATTCACATAAAAGACAAGGAAGAAAATATTATTATTTAAAGAGCAACTGTGGACTTGAAACCCACTTCCTCTAAATCTGTCTGTTTCTGCATCTACATACGCAGAGCGCCGTCGTGAATGATGGATGAAATACTGCAGATGAGTTTGGAGCACATCTCTGCCAGGGCCGGCATCGGTGTGATCATAAAGGAGTCCAGACACATGTAGCGAATCATCTCCTCCCGCCGATGCTCCGCCTCCGGCTCATTACCTTGGAAACCAGGAAGCTCGGTGTATTTTGGGATAAGAACCAGCTAAAAAAAAAAAAGAATTGAAGGTTTACAAAAGGAAAGGGTTATAGAGATAACTATGAATGCAAATAGGCAAATTATGAGCCACGGAGGCAATATTAATCACAAGAGGTTGATAAGCTACAGTCGTCAACTTATGCAGAAAGAAAAAACATAAAAATGTAACAGTGCTTTTGTAAAGAGGTCTCAATGAAAGACAATAACTGTCATGTGTTTTCAGGTGAAGAGACTGAAAAGCAAAAGCAATCTGCAGCATGAAGAACAACCACACACTCAATTACAGAGTTATTTGGTACAAAAACATCAAAGCATCAAACATCAAAAAAGTCGTAATTGCACCCAATAAATCATCTTTTACGGAAGCATTTATTCATTCTTTATTATTAAGGTTTAATCCGGAAATGTGCTTTTTATTGACAGTGAAAAGACAGTGAATAAAGCAGGGCAGGTAAATGCAGCACTGAGCAGCATGCAGTACTGTAACCTTTCAAACAGGCTGAAAGGAAGATGAGGAGGACGGCAGGCTGACGGGTCTTAGCTCACCGAGTCGATGAGGATGAAGGCAGTCAGGTGTCTGTGTGAGACCCCGTGGCGCTGGAACCTGATTGAAACCACGTAACGATTACTGGGCTCGAAACAGAACGGCCTGGGCATCTGAATATATCTGAGGGGGAGAAAAAAAAAAAAAAGAAAAAAGAAAGACTATATAAACCATATATTCATTTCCTGTGGAAAGGAGAAACCATCATGAGGCCACTGAAGTGACAAATAGTGGAGCCTCTGCACTCACAGGGCTCGTAATAAGCTCCAGCTAATTTTAAAACGTGTAAACTTTTGATTGTTTTTGTCACGAGTTAAGGCCAATGTTATAAAACTACCTGCAGTTTTCTCCTGCTATCATGAACTGAAGGTCTGTGGTACGTCTGTTTCTCAGGTTTCCTTGAATTCCACACGGAGGGGGAATATTTTCTACCAATATGCCCGAGTCTGTTTTTATGAGACTGTCACTTGTTCACTGCAGTTCCATGGTGGAAATACGTTGTCGTGGCGATGACTGATGACTGTATTATATAAAAAACACCATATGTTCACATTAACAAGGTCAGAGGGGGTCTTATTTGATAAAACAAAGAACTTAAAATCTCTGATATTAAAGTTAGTGTTAGTCTATTTAGTTTATTTACTTAATTTGATTTTTCACAATTCTGTTTTTACACAAACACAATATGAAAGACAATTCCTTTTCTGTCTTTTTTTTTATTTTAAAGTTAAACAATGAATTTATCATCAATACAAATTCTACATGTACATTTCAAATCTCTCAACTACCAGCTATCTACCTCTTACCTCCCTGCCTGACTTGTGTGTTTCGAGGACAATCATTGTTCACCAGGCGCGACTCGATCCTCCCTCTACCTGCGTTTTGGCCTCCACCCCTGCGTCTGTGTTTTGGCCCCACTTTGCTAATTGGTTTTGGCTGATGAACCCACCACAGAGGAGAACGGAAGCCGAGCCACGGTCCGCTGAGGCAGCCGGATCCGGGCAGGGTCTGACCTCTTAGTTCCAGATGAGTTCAGACTGTGAAAAGCTTTTCAGCAGGTTGAAACTAAACAGTCTTAGTGTTGGGCTTTCCCTGTTTTTATTATCCTAGATCCTATTCTCTGCTGCCTTGATCTCGCCACCGGGATAATTAACATTTAATCTCGTCTGATCTGCAATAATCTGTTTAATGTGTTGACTCTGCAATAGTGTAATAAGCTTTTCATATCATAAGATCAATATGAAGTAAATATCACACTGTAATCATGTAATTTGAGGTTTTTAAAGACAGTTAGGTCTTTACAAGCCTTCACACTGGAGCAACATGAGAACAGCCCAGTGTAAAAGTAACTCTTGATTAATCTTTATTAAGATCATTTCCAGCTGATTATCACCTTAATATCAAGTTATTGTAGTGTGTTTATTCTCCTGTGAGATACCAAATATTATTTTCTTTAGTTGAGGATCAGCATCGTACTGACAGTTAACAAGTCTCCTTGCTAACTGCGGTTTGAGTTCAGGAAATAAAACCCACAAAAGATTCTGAAACTCGAAGGCCACAGTTTAGAAAACATACCTTCACCAAGACCAAACAATCCTACACTTGTACAGCTTTATATATTTATTGTATTTAATCCTTATGCAACACAGCTGGATGGTTTTATTACCTGTTGTGTGAAATGATGACGTCAGCATTATACAATTATGCCGTAACCACTGTTGTTACTGTGTGATTTTATTGGCTGCATGTTGAATGAAATACTGATTCCTAAATGCTGCTGGTGCCATGTGCACTGTTTCTTACTATTAATAATAAGTACAACTCTCAATTCAGCATTTTCTTCCACCAGATCCAGATCCATAGATCCCAACACCATAAATATGTCTGATTTATTTACATCAATATCCAAACGTTATTCCCTGAGAAACTGAGAGAAAATGAAAATGAAAAATGCTCCATCTCATTATGTTAAGGAAAATTATTCAATTGGTTCAGTCCTTTTTGCCTAAGTGTAGCTAAAGCATTTTGTGTGACATTGTTTGTATGAAAAGTGCTATACAGTCTGATTGACTGATATAATAAGGCAGGGAAACTTGGTACAATAGGCGCTTGAATGCAGAGCTCCTCTGAGTGCAGTACAGCCACACTGTACTTAGCAGTAATTCAGTGGTGCTTTGAACTGAACGCTACTTAGCACAGCATGCTAACTATTATATACGCTAACTATTAGATATAACTATCATTACTTCAGCATGATAGACGGCTAATATTAGCCAGCGTAGGGCAATGTAGAACTGAGAACAGACAGGCTTTAAGTTTTAATGTGATGATGGCAGCAAATAAAAAGTTTAAGGATCATCAAAGTGATTTCAATTAATCCTGGGTGGGACATGAAGAAGACATGAGAGACAATGGACAGTCCCATTTCTCTTTGATCTGTTAATGAATTTAGGAAAAGAACTAGAGCCAGGACAAACACAATGAACCTGGTCCAGGTGTGTGTGTGTGTGTGTGGGGGGGGGTTGGATATGATACGTTCCTGCCTGAATGTACCTTCAGATTTTCCTGATTTTCCTCCAATCTAAACATCAGTAAACAAAAGCTGCTGACTTCTTTTCATAAGACTGTAGCTGAGTCTTACACAGCCTTTCTGGCATGTTTGTCGTCCTGACGGAGAACCAATAGTAAAAAATACCACAGGGTACAGCGGAGTAAGAATATAAATACAAGCCTGACTCACACAGTTCATACAAGTCAGGACGGGTTTGAGTGACAACAATGTAATGGTGCAACTCAAACCAGATCAAGACCTGGGTTACTTGGAACAAATCATTCAGTGACTTGAATAAACATACAGGCTATAATGGCCTCTCTCTCTGACTCACACACACACACACACACACACACACACACACTTATGTTTTGGTACCTGTTGCGGTGCGGCAGAGTAACAGTGTAGAGCTGTTCAGTTGGTAGGAGGTTTCCACAACGGAGACTGGAGGGCAGCAGCACTGAGGTGATACTAACTACGGCCTCCCAGTCCTCTGCTGGAGCTACAACACACACACACACACCACACACACCACACACACACACACACCACACACAACACAAACACACTAGCACACACACACACACACAAAAGGCTTAGTTCAGCAGACTGTCATTAATAAGAAGAAGAGTTTTGTCTTGTAGCTCACGTCCACACGCTCACAGACCTCGGGCTCGTAGCGGATCATGATGTCGTACTCCATGGCGTAGGGGATGTTGTCGATAGTGAACACCAGGCCCGCTCCGTCTTTGACGCGGGCGAAACCGGGTCCGGTCCACGTCACCATGTGGCTGGGAGTGTGCTCTCTGTGAACGGTCCTCACATCCGGCTGAGAGACGCAGACAGATAACCAAAGATTATTTTTCTACTATATTTTTCTAACTATTATTCAGGATATCCTCCTGAGGCCACGCCCATTCATTTGTGGCCTTTGTAGTAGACTTTCTGTTCACATGCATCTGTTGCACTGTAGAGAAGACATCCTGGGCTTTCCCAGTGATCTGTGATGTGAGAGGAGAAGTCAAATATTGTTTATCTATAGTTTTTTTTATCATGAAGTAATTGGGTCTCAGTCTTCACCTTGTCTCAGCGTTGGTGGTCTTAACTTCAACACTGGACTCTCTCTCTCTCTGTCTGTCTCTCTCTCTCTCTCTCTCTCTCTCCACATCTGTATTTCAGCCTGACCAGTTTGAGTTGACAAGATGAACTTGGCAACAAGGCATTTAATTAGGCTTCGTTACTTCGAACTGCCCAGTGGTGCAAACAGCACATGACCACAAACTTTAAAAAAAGGTTTTGTACTGTATCAGTCAGTTCTGTATGAAAGCTGTTGTTACTGTTATACATGATTCGATGCCTGAAATGAGCATCATGCAGAGTCGAACCCTGACTCTCTGCCAGCTGACAGATTCAGTTCACTTTCTTACTACCCTTGACTTTTGTAGAGTACATCATTGAGTCTCCATTAAACTCAGTTGTCATAGCTTTCAAAGGAACCTTAAAGTGAGACAAATCCATGTGATGAGGGGTCAAAAGTAAATGTTGCTTAATCTCAAGAAGAAATAATCTTCACTGTTTTTTGTCCACCTTAGAAACACGTGTTCTGTCGCTTAAATTCTCTTGTGTCATAAATAAATGCAATGAAACGATCAAAGTAAGTATCTCACTGTTTGCTGAAGCTGGCGGATGCGTCTCAGTGCTGCCCGATGCTGCTGCGAGTTGGTGATGCGCCGGTGGCGCCGGTGACGCCTCAGCTGGTTGTTGAGGTGCTGGACACAGTCGGTCTCGGCCTGAGGACGAACTTTGCCCTGAGAGGAGAGGAGAGGAGAGGGTTAAGATAAACAAAAAGATAACCATAAATGTGTGTGTGTTCCATGTGTTTCCTGTCGTGTGTTTTTACGGGTCACTTTAGCAATGAGCAGCACAAGACAACAGCCTCATATGTCAAAGACACATCTCCACTGTTTTCTCTGACATCCTGAAGTGAAAACTTGCCTTTTTGTCCACATTCCTGTCACATTGATGTTGCAAGTGCGGACTGTCTGAGCTTGCCCGGAGGGCTGGATGGGAAAGTCAAGGGGGGTTTCTTACAAGTGAGGTGGGTGAAAGGTAGTGAAAAAATACTGACAGAAAGAGGAAAGAATGTGAGAAAGCGGGCAGATAGAGATGGCAGAGGATAGACACGAGGATGCAGGCGAGAGGGGAAAGTGATAGGCAGGTGAGATTAATCAGAGACAGCAGGAACAGACTTTGTCATAGTTTCTGTGTCCTGGTTGGAACAAGTTAGATCAGGGGAGGGGGAAGCTTAAAGGTCCCATATTGTATAAAGTGAAATTTCCATGTTTTCTTTTATTATAAAGCAGCTCTAGCTTCTATATTAATACTGTGAAAGTATCAAAGCCTCAGTCCACAGAGAAATGCACACAGCCTGTATTCAGAAACTGAGCCTTAAAACCAGCCGTCAGGACTTCTGGAACTTTGTGATGTCACAACAAAGCAGTCACCAAGCCCCGCCCACCTGGACCCCATCATCCAAACCTTTCAGGATTTGGTTTCTTTACCTAATATTAACAGAAGTTAGTGTTGTGTTGAAATGAGAATTATTTAACAGACTCTGTGAAAACCGCATCAAAATATAACACACTGTTTGATTCAATGCAAGAACATTAGAGATCTTTTTTCATATCAAACAGGCAAATACGATATGTATGTATCTTGTGGCCATTTTTAGGGCCTAACCTTTGTTTTGCTTTTTAAATCATTGTTCAGGACATTTGAAAAGCAACAGCTGTAGCAGAAGCTGTAAGAGCAGTGCAGCGATGAAGAAAGACTAATCCCCTCAAACACAAACTTGGTGGAGTCGGAACAATATGAAAGCTCTTTCTGAAACAGCCATAACATCACATTATCCAACACTGTCCAAGGGCTGATGTTAGATGTGGAACTGTACAGTCTGTATGAGATACAGAGGACAGACTGAAGATTAGATCTCCTGTGTCTTCTACGTCTTCTCCTGTGTCTAGGGTTGGATCATATAGTTCATGGTCCACAAACATGCCACTCATCTTTTATTTTTTTAAATCTGCTGCCCTCCTTCACCACAGCCGAGTCTACAGCTGCATTCAGGTTGACAATTCATGCTTTTTGTACCTAACTGAAGTACTGATTGGATTGGACTCAGGATCAGCACATACCTAATATGAAAGGGATCGGATCGGGATCAGGGCCACACTAGAATTACCGCCTCGTGGTATTTTGCCTCCGCCAACCACAATCTCCCCCTCCTGAGTTACAGCGTTTTTGTTGAACATTATGATGTCACAGTGAAGTTGACCCTTTGATAATTTGAATATAAAATATCATCACTTCATTTCATCCTTATAGATATTTGAGTTGAATTGTGTGTCGTAATTAGTGTGTGAATTTGTGAGTTATGGCCAAGAACGTGTTTTGTGAGGTCGCAGTGACCTTGAACTTTGACCTTTGCCCACCAAATTCTAATCAGTTCATCCTTGAGTCCAAGTGAATGTTTGTGCCAAACGTGAAGAAATTCCCTCAAAGCGATACTGAGATATCACGTTAATGGGACAGACAGACGCCTCCGTCTTCAGGCATAAAAACTTTATCGCCTGTAAAACCAAAACACAGCTGAGAGTCATGAGAGCGGAAGTGCTTATTTTAATAATAACTGTGCAGGAAATAAATTAAAAGATATAAGTGCCTGTTGTGCAGTAAAAGGGTGCAGGTGAAAATGTGAACTTCTCTGATGTGTTTGCGATGTTGCTGTTTTATATTTCACCCTCTGGACGGTGCATTGTGGCAACAAACAGACACAACTGAACAGCTGCTTTCCCTTCTCTGACGTGTGACTCGCACTGGTCGACACTGAGTCGCAGCGCCGCGCTCACCGGCAGTGCACGGTCATCCGGGGAGTGTCCGGTGGCCTCTTCGGCCTCGTATTTGTAGTAGTCCAGCGGAGCGCAGAAATACCCAGGCTGCACTTCTGAACACTGTCGACCAATCAGGTGTCTCCTGCAGTTACACTGGCCATTTTCCATCATGCACCTGAAAGTAAGAGAAAAATGAAAACTGTAAATGTCTGTTAAAGCTGATCTTGACCTTTTCGTCTTTCTCTCTGCCTTTCTTTGCGTTTGTCACTCTGAATTATTCACAGCCTGAATTCAAAGTTAATTTTAAACTTTAAAACCGTACATAACATCTGTACCTGTTGTTGTAGGCTCCACCAAAGTCACAGTCACACGATCTGCAGCCGGCCAGGTCGTTACTGAGCCCCCAGTATTCAGGCTACAGGGATGGAGATAAAGCTCAGAACCAGGATGCACAGTGACATGGATAATGTGTAGTTTTTGCACTGCGTCTGAAGCTTTGTTGACTTTGTGTAGCTCGTAAAGCTTGTGCGGTTGCTGCTATGTAATATTCTCTGTTCGTTGTCCACTACGGATGCTAACGTCCAGGGTCTTCTGATATAAAATTAGCGACAGATTTGAAGGAGAGCAGTTGTTACTAACCAGACATTGGTTACAGTAGCGACCGGTTACATATCTCTTGCAGGAGCAGTCTCCACTGATCTGATCACAAGGAGCTCCCATCATTATAATACCACGAGGGTCACAGTTGCAAGCTGATGGAGAAACAAACAGACACAAACATAGATAGAGTAAGATAAATGCTGATGTGTTATTGACAGATTTTAAATGTAGATTATGTGGTTTTATATTGCAAATGCGTTAAGATGCTTATACATACGCTGGCAACCCAGCGGGTCGTTCTGGCTCAGGCCGTAGTATCCCTCCTTGCAGTCGTCGCAGCGTGTGCCTTTCACATTGGCTTTGCAGCGACACTGTCCAGCAATCATCCCCATGTCTGGGTCGGTGTGACTGTCGCACACTCCGCCCTCCAGCGAGCCCACGGGGTCGCAGTCACACGCTAGAGGTCAGATGGAGAGCGTAAGTTAAGTTTTAAATACACTTAAAAACAGCTGTGAAATATGTGATGTCATATCATATATATATACAGGAAAACAAAAGAAACCTACTGGTAGAATGTTTCCAAATGTTTCAGGGAAAATAAGAATTTAATAGTCAATAAGTGGCTTAATTCAGAGGCCGTTTATTGCAGCACTAAAGTGGACAATCCCACAACTCACCAACACAAACCCGTGGGTCCCTGATGTCCCTGATATGGTCTTGATAGTAGAAAGGTTTACACATCTCACAGTTGCGTCCCATGGTGTTGTGCAGACATTCATCGCACACTCCTCCGCTGACGTTACCCGTGGCCAAATACACCGCCATGTCAAAGTGACACTGGTTTGAGTGGCCGTTACAGTTACACTCTGGAAAACAGAAGATGAACATTACCTTGAGAATAAGAGGCAACCATATACGTCACATCCCGTCAGCTCCTCTCATTGTCTGCAACACGCTGAAAACAGCTTCAACGATTCAATGTGCTGAGGACAGAGTTCAAGGCAACTGTTCAGGAGGAAGCTGCTTTTCTACAGATTCATTTACAACGGCACAACAGCAGAATATCAACAATTGGAAGATTAGTACCCTGAACTTCAAATTTCGATACACATCGTCACAAATCCATTTTACGGTATCTCACATGAGCATTCAAGGGCAGATGATGTTGAATTTACATTTCAGGAGAGAGTGAAACTCTGTCGGTTTGTTTGTGCACAGAGTTACGGCTCGTGTTTCCATCAGTTTTGATTAAAAAGTTGCGTTCATTTAATAATATCAGGATACACTGACAGCACATGTACAAGAGGCGTGTGTAAAACGACAAGCTATGCATCAAAAAAAGTGGTTACTGAGGATGCAACACACATATTTCTGTTGCTGATGGCTACATGTATTAAAATGAAAGATAACTGTATATTACACTGAGGTGCGTGGATCATGTTTTTCTCTTTGTATCCCAGACTCTCCTCTGGCCCTTTGTCCCTACTGCACCCTGGTATTCGCCTGTAAAGCCAATGCCGGCAGCTAGCTCTCTGTATGCATGTGTGTGTGTGTGTGTCTTAGCGTGGAGCATAATTATAGTTGTTAATGTCGAAAAAGCAGGAGAGACACGTTTGAAACTTTTCAGACGGAAACAGGCAACAAGTTTCGAAATGAATAAAAATAACCCCTCATCTGCATCTTAGTGTTTGCTCTCATAAAAATTTCATGAAACACTGTGTGTGTGTGTGTGTGTGTGTGTGTGTGTGTGTGTGTGTGTGTGTGTGTGCGTGCACTCCACCTCTGCAAGTGTGTGGATTATCTGCCTCCGCTGGTCTCCATGGCAGGTCATTGTGGAAATCTCTGCAGCGCTCACAGTTCAGGCCCTCTGTATTATGTTTGCATACACACCGACCGTGGATCTGGCCAATCAGAATGCAGCAAAAGGGTTAATGTATGCATTGTCAATAACGGCATGTTAATCAGTATATTGAACAAAGTTGACAAGCAATTTTCTATTCTGCTGTTTCTGCCTTTTACGCGACAGGATGAGTTTCTGTTTAGTCCCACAGCGTTATATGAAGGATTGTTCTGGTGGTACGGTCCGCTAACTCACCATGCCGTTCTCCCGGGCGTCGACCCCTGGCACCGGGGCGCACTCTGAGGCGTGACCATAACAGAAGCAGCTCCCCCTGACCACCAGCTCATAGATGGCGTAGTAATATTTCTGCAAGACGTCGAAGCGCCGGTCCAGCAGGTCGTCTCCCAGAGTGTTGAGCTTGGTGAAGTTGATACGCAGGTTGGTGATACGTAAAAGTTCTGTAAAGAAGAAAGAGAGATTAATCTAATCTGATCCGCGTATTACGCCATTTTGTGAAAACTGAAATTCTATTTGCACATTTGCAAACGTCAAACACATTTAAGACAGAAAACATTATAAACATAAAGGTTGATGATGAAGTTTGAGCTTTTATCCGTCAGAGTCTGACGTTTACCACGTTTACCTACAAAACTTCTGATGCACACATAGTCTCTGTCACAGCAGCTCACTGTGTTGTGCTACTAATGAGCTGCTGTTAGTGTTTCATGTTCAGAGTTAAAAGTCTTCACTGACCTTGAATGTCCAAGCTGTAGGGGTCTTTCACATGAATGGCAGGATCCAAAACTTTATAAATGACCTTGAACACAGGAGGGAATTTTTCAGGTAAAGAAAAATCTCATCAGATTCTGACATTAAAGAAAAAGCAGTAGTAATGGAACAAGAAAGAGCAGCTGAAATGAAGTGTGAGATGAAGAGCTGCATGCAACCAACCAACTCATCTACTGTGTCCTGGTCAGATCACTGTTGCTCATGGCACGATGGGAAAACGCTGATTATTGACTTCATTTTTTACTATTATTTATTTGTTTGGAGTCACACCAGGTGTTCCTGTTGTTCGTGTAGCATCAGTTAACATGGGTGTCACCAAAACTCAACCAGCACTGAAATCATAAGGGTAATGAAATAATAAAATGAAATAATTTAATAATTAAATGTAATTTAAAACATCAGTTTATAACAAAAGTCAATCGAGTCAAAGTCACATTCCCTCGTTATGTTTCCCTTTATCTAATCTTTATCTAAATTTCTCTATTTCATTTCTTGTCCACAAATCTGGCGAAAAGACCAAAATCCACAATTAAACTACATGTTTAAGATACTGTATCTCATGAAGCTTAGCAAAAGATCATTTAGGAAAGACTATCTCCTTGTGCACGCCTTCTAAGTCACAAGCACATTTCCTGCCATCTCTAATCTCTCATCACCACCGGCAAGTTTCCTCTAACAGGAAGCACCTTACTCCCATGGACCGTTCCGCATGGCGCTCCACTTCCTGCCAGGGTCTAAGCGCCAAAGTCTGTTCTTTATGTTCATAATAAATCACATTTTACTTTAAATTTCTCAAACTCACGCAACAGCCAGGGTAGGAAACTGGAAAGTGTTGCGCCTTACCCTTCAGCATGTCTCTACTATTTTTACTACCTGTGCATTTTCAACTTCTCACCTCTCCGTTGGTGGAGGGTTCAATGTCGGAGTAGCGCTCCTCGCAGATGATGTCGTTGATGTGGTGCAGGCCGTTGGCGGGGATGCCGGGGAAGGTTCTGGTGCAGTTTGAGGCGAAGTAGCGGTAGGGGCGCCATGTGCGGCCGAAATCAGCCGAACGCTCGATGATCATAGCTGCAGGTCTGAAAGTCTGAGCAGGTGAAGGGAGAGAGAGAGAGAGAGAGAAATGAATACAGGTCACATCAGTGACTGAGCTGTGGGCTATATGAGAAAATACAGTCACGTTTGAGATAAGACGACAGCACCATGTCAGACTTATCTTATGTTTAATGTTTGCGTTACTAACAGCAGGGTGACGGATTCAGGCCTGATGGAATGCAGAATATCTGAGTGTACACAACAAACACACACCGGGACGAATACCCTGACATGCTTAAGCACATGCCATATTTCAAATGTTGCACACACACACAAAAAAGAAAGTGTGCATACCTTAAACTTCATGATGAGGTGTGTGAAGTGGAATTCGGCCTCCAGGTTCAGTCTGATGCTCACATTCTCCTGTCCTGTGGAGGAAATAGCTGTCAGCCAGTGTCATAGCTTCAAGTCCTGAAGTCACTGTCTGCTTGAGTGATTCTAGGAGACCTTTCCCCCCTTTCTTTGTATTTTAGTCTCTCCTTAAGAAACGTCAGTCTTACAGTATTTGTCCCGTGGGGTCATAGATTTAGCTCCAGATTTAAAGTACTTCTTTTTTAATTTTACATTTTTTTTTATTCCCTTAATTGGTGAGATAATGTAACAAGAAGATGAAAAACTAAAACTAACAGATGTATTATGTAAAAATGGCAAGAATATGAACGTGTGTGTGTGTGTGTGTGTGTGTGTGTGTGTGTGTGTGTGTGTGTGTGTGTGTGTTTGGATGGGAATGTATAGTGATAATAAATTCTGTAATCTTAATTGTAGAAAGAATGTAATAATAGAACAATTTAATATTAATAACATGTGACATCCTGTTAATGTATTAGTGACTATAACTTACAAATAAAATATGACAATATAATCATATTATTGTGATAATATAATAGTATAAAATAATATAATAGACGGACACCACCCCCACCCTCCCAGCCCTGTCCAGCCCCAGAACCCATCACCATTAATCATTACAACAAAAGGACTTTTTCTTTTTATATACCACTGCACTCAGCTGTATCCCTTCAGTATTCTGATACAGACACAGTTAATTATTTGTTTGTAAAATAAAATGAAAATGATAGAAAAGACGAGCGCACACATGTGGGGACGGAGGCAATCAGCACAATGAACAGAGCGATCATGTTCTTGTGTGCAGTTATAGAAACAGGTAAATACCGTTGACAGACTGCCACCAGGTGTTGTCTTCGTTCCTGTCCATGAGGTAGATGACGTTTTCAATGCGATGGCTGTTTCTGTGGCGGTGCGGGTCGTAGCGATGCTGGGAGTTACATTCGAAACACTTGTCTGACTCCTGCGGAGGAAGAAAACACATTTGTTTTTAGACATGACGATGAAGGAATCATTTAAAATAGTGACTTGTGATTAAGGTAAAGCTCAAATATTAAAATAATCAGCAGCGTTTTCTTTCATATTTGTACCAAGAAAGGACTAATGAATCGAACCATGTATCACGCCACCTGTGGATGTTGCACAACATGGGAAATAATTAAAATTCAGTTCTTGTCATGAAGATGATCAATCAATAAGATCCTGCTCGATTTTGTTGCGTCTCCACAGGTTGTGTCTTGTACATATCGTCATGTCAGTAAAGCCGCGGTGACGGAGCCGTTTCCTCAGAGCGGGGCTTTCATCCGTCAAGCTGAATTAATGTGGGTTATGTGCTGCTGTGGGCCAATACCACTGTGATTGGGGCTCAAGCCAGAGGGGACTGGATTGTGTCTCGGCCGGGTCAAAAAGATTTTAAAAAAAAAAGGAAGCTCAGAGGAAAGAAAGCAATGAGTAAAAAGAGCAGGAGGAAGAGAAGGAAAGCGTACGGGAGTAAGGACGACAGTGGGAGAGATGGAGGCAGGAATGAAGATGAGGTTAAAGGGCATCGGTGCGGTGCGGATCACAGTCAAGTGCGGCCTGCCTGATATCCCAGAGGCACGCCAGGAGCACTGTCGGTGTCCTCATGGCCAGGCACGTCCGTGGTGAACTGTTTATCGCCTTTAAACACAGGACTCCGACTCTGACCGTCATGATGCACTGACAGTTTGTGAATCTTGTTTTCCTCAGAGGGAAGTTATTGTTATATATATATCAGATATGAATACAGGAGCTCAAATACACTGCCAAGAACTCCTTGTTTCTTGTATAAATTGAGTGTTTTATTACTGTATTTATTGTATTGATTTACTGCTGGCTGCACAACAAATTGCTCCTTGGGGATAATAAAGATGACCTTGACCTTAATAACTGTGTTTTAAGTTGAATTCACTGTTTGCATGTTGCCATTTTAATTGTTATTTTAACCAGTCAAAATGATCTGCTGTTAAAAACTACTGTAGTGCCACATATGCAATGAAAGTAGAATTTAAAATGCAGTCTTACCATTTTGAATGTTGTATTTCTTTATTTCTGAAACTATTTTACAGTTTCACTAAGTTACATTTAACAGTTCTACATGCCTGATTGATCTTCACACTGCTACATAAACATCCTGCCAGTGATTGACAAATACAATATGATTGGGAGCAGCGCTACAAAACTTAACCAGAACCATCTGTACCAGATCATGTTGGTAAACGCAGCGACGAGTCTACCTGAACTGTGATTAAAAGTGTGGAGCTACACTCAAACATGCCTCTGGATTTACAGTAGAAACTAGAATAATTAATTTGATGACGTTTGATGAGTGCGGATGTTTCTGTGGCAGTTTTGCAACAGTCCTGGCATGTGTTATCGCAACATCACTCCTGTTTGAGACAATGGAGCAGACACCTCCTGCCTAAGGCCTTCAGTATAGACTACCTGTTGTGAATTACAGAGCTGATAAGTATCACTCATAAGTCTTTAATCTGTCTGGTCTGTCTACATGATCACGTCAGCTGATTGAAAAACGTAAAACAAAAGTGAAAAGAGGAGCAGAACATGAACATAGGGATTCGTGTACGTTTTTATGGAGGTTTTTATGAGCGTGCCTTCGCCAGATAAAGACCAAAATATTACAGAAAAAATGTGCACAGAGCTGTTGACCTGCTAAGAGCATGCACGCAGCAAAGTGTGCAAAATGCGTTCATTCTTGGGACCAGCACTGCTTTGAGCTAAATGCTAATGTCAACCATGCTAACATGCTCACAGTGACATTGTCAACATGCTGTTTAGGAGGTACAATGTTTACTATGATCACCATCTTAGTGTGCTAGCATGGAAACATTTACTAATGAGGACTAAACAAAGTTGAAATTGACGGCTATGTCATTCGTTTTGCAGGTATTTGGTCTCAAAGCAAATATCGGAAAAATGGTGGCGCTAGAGCAAAAGTGAGTGGGAGCCAGTAGGATTTATCCTCTGGGGACCATGAATGTCTGAGCAAACTTTCATGTCAATCAGTCTGATATTTGCTGCTATAATCTTAAACTGGATCTGAGACAGCGACAGTAATTTGTAAACCAGGAAGGAAACCTGCAAAAGAAAAGCTGACACTGACCAGGCAGAGGGCAGAAGAAGAGGTGGAGGAGTGTAAAGGCAAAGAGCATGGGAAAGAGACAACAATGTGGGGACCGAGGCCAAGAGCGAGAGCTTGGAAGAAAGACGTGCACTAGAAAAGTTAGAGAGGGCGGTTGGAGAGAGGAGCAGAAAGACACAGGTGAGATAAGTTTGTATGCAGCGGAGAGAGGGCTCAAACAGCCCAGAGGCCGTGAAGGACAAAGACAGGGGTCGACAGGGAGCGAGGGAGATGCTGAGAGTGTAAAAACGGGGGTGTATTTGAGAGGGGGCCACAAACAGGGGAGCAGGGAGGGAGAAAGAGGGAGATGAGGGTGAGCTGGCACAGAAAAACTGTGGATTCCAGAGCAGCGTTTCTTAATTAGGTTGTTGTCAGGGGTGATTAAGCCGCTAACAACAACATGGCTGTTAAAGAGACTCGGCTGAGAACTGAAAAGAAATGCCCAAAGCGTGCTGGACGTGGTGGATGTATGTGAATGTGCGTGACCACATGCGCGCACACACGCCCACTTTTACATCTATACATGTAAGTGGGTGTGTGTCTTTTACATGCATGCTTGCCTTCTTCACTCACCCCCCTCCCTCCCCAATCCCAGCATAAATCTCTCCACCCTCATCTAGGAGCCCTCGCTGCTGGAAAGGGCATTTCTTTCTGCACAGTGGCCCATCCATCCCGACACCCTGTGATGTTATTAGAGAGAATTGCTAGTATCTACCGCAGCTTCATTGTGTTTACAGGAATCAAAGTCCAAGAGCTGGATTTCAGGCATTATTTAAGAGGGGGAAAAACACCAAATTACTTAACTTATACGCATTTCACTTTTGTTCAGATAGTTTAACTCCCTGGTTTTGGTTCATATGAATAAAATAAGTTTGATTCCTGTTCATGTCTCTTTCAAGGACACCCTAAAGCTTCAGTTGGTGCTCGGTGTAAACTTTTGTGGCTTTTAGCACCCTCCCTCCCCTCCTCTGAGCTCTTATTTATCTCCCATTAGTCAAGGCTGGTCAGCTCAGCTACACGGCTTTCTGCTCCAACAATACACTGATGTAAGTAAGACTTCTTTGTCACACTACGATGGTGGCTTTACAAAAAAAAAGAAAAAAAAACAGTACAACCCACCTTCCTCGTTCAGTTTCCACCTCAAGTTCCAACTTTAAAAACTGATGTTTCCTCGCTGTTCATATCTCATTTCTCCCTTTTTGTCTTTGACTTTCCACGTTCTCACCTTTCTTTTGACATATAACTGCCATTCAAGTTTTAGCTCCAAACTACCAGGTTGGTCTAAGGACCAGACGAGGGCCCCACTTTAAAAGTCTTCAACGCTGCGTTCTCACTGCTTCTTCTGAGACACAAAGAGGTAAAAAAAACTGTGCATGAAAGCAATGCAATCTGATCTCACGAGGAACAAAAGCACAACCTAGGAAAAGCCTATGTCTAACACAAATGATTGATGAACTTCTTGACATTTAAAAGCCGAGAGACAAATGTTTGGTGTGGGCCTCCAGAGTAACTTCTGACAGACCAGCAACGGTCCGTGCCCGGGTTTATGGTACGACAGGTTGTCACCATACCCTGCCCCTCCCTTTCAGTAGCGGAGGGCCTCGCACCAATCAGAGGATGTCAATCATGTTCACCTGAAGGTTGACAGTGTTGCATATTCCTGCCCTGAGGCAATGGAAGTGCAGGCACATACATGTAGGTGCACGGAAATATCATGTCAGGAGTCATGTCAGGTAGGAGCAGAGGAACAAGAGCTGCAGACTGACTGTAACAGCGTTTGGTGCTGCATCACATAACTGTGATGTGACAGGCAGTGTACAACTAATCTGTGTCTGTTCATTTCATACAATATTTTCAATATATTATTTTCATAAAAATATCTGAAGTCAGATTAATGCTGGAGGTGGGAGGGGCCTACACTGAAAGTTGTTAGAAATCATCTAGACTGGTTCATACACATAACATATTATAAACATGTTCTCAAATTAATCAAATAATAATTTTGTATTCGAACCCCAACCTCAGGTCGGGTTGGAAGTCAATAGTGGAAGGTTTTAAATGGTCAAAACTAAAATTGGAAAAGCTCTCAGTCACTGGAAAACATGACACCAATGTAAAGAGTAGGTGCAGCTGATTGTAGCTGTGTTTTTAATCTTCAAAACTTTTCTTTCTGACACTTGCCTTACTAAGAGGAACACACACAGAAAATCATTGTCAAGTTTCTATTGAAATTTTGAAACTTTTGTGCTGTGGTGCATCTCCAGCTGTGAAGGAAGGAAGCCAGGGATCATCAAACATCCTTTATGTTCGTCACAAAGTGAGGAGTCAAAGTGAACACTACTAAAAACAGCGAGGTCAAGACGGTGACAGAGAAGCAGAGGGAGAAAAAGTGAGATGGAGGAAGAGTGTGTGTGTGTGACGAAGGTGTGTCTGCACCTGGGGCCTGATATTGAAAGGTTGTGTAAGGTTGGTGGGCGTTTGCTCATGGAAACCCGGCTACACACACACACACACAGACATATGAGCAAATGAAGATGGAAAAGTGGAGGCAGAAGGACGAAGATTGATGGATGTAATGAAAGAGAACAAACAAAACGTCCTATTTTTCTTCTGCATCCACTGCAGGGGGCAGCGTATTGTTGCGCAGGGAGGGACGACATGCTGAGAGATGGAATAGGCAGGAGTGAGAGAGAGAAGTCGAAGGTACAAAAAAACCTTTATTACACATTATACAATACAGGAGTGGATGAGTGGAGTCCAAGAGGGAAATTAATACCAGTTGTTCCCATTTCAACGGACATGTTTCTCTTCATGTCACCTTTAATATGTTTTCAAGTGAGTGCTAACCTGCAGATGGCTGACGATGCAGTAGTGCTCCGGTCCGCCCAGGCCACATGTGGAGGTGGCGGTTAAATTAACAGCCCGTCCAATCAGAAGGTTTCCTGTCGCAGGGTAACAGCTTCCGTCTGTACAGCCGTGGGGGCCTGATGGGAGCTCCTGTCCAATCACACTGAGAGCTGGAAGAGGGAGGAAAAAAAAAAAAATGATCCCAACATATCAAGCTAATAAGCTGTTTAGTTTACATCACTTGATTCTCGTATTTACCCAGATGTGAAATCCTGATGTGATAAGGCTTCTCTCATCCACATGTTCTGGACGTGTGGTGCGTTTGATTCTCTTTCAAATCATCATTAATGTGGAAATATACAGTTTCTAATATATATATTGCCTGTAGGATATTAATAGGAGGGTGGGAATATTAATTAGGTAGGATATAAATAGCAGGATATAAATATTGGTGCATGTAACTTGGTGTTAACCAGTGGTTTTACACAGCACAGCAGACAAACTCTCAACATTATAAGATGAAGGGAAAAGGGGAAAAGACTGTTTTAGAAACTGCCTGACAACCCAGAAAGTAATCGCCTTAATAGACTGGAGTGTATAAGAAACACACTAACCATAACTCTCTAAAAAAATTTTCTGGTCCTGCTCCCTCAAACTCTCTCTCTCACCCTCGTAAACACTCTCTCCGCATCACTGACTCTGAATAACAGGCCTCATAAGGGATATGGGAGAGAGAGAGAGACAGCAAGCCGTGAGCGGAGCAGAGAAAGACAATGAGATAAATTATGGTGAAGGAAAACTGACAGATGGACAGAAAACAGATCAGTCAGGATATTTACCTCAAGGTTTAAACATTTACTGGCATCACAAACCAGCCACCAGCGCCTGTGATACACAGCACTGGAATGAACATGAAGCCACACGGAGAGAAATGCAACGTGTGAGAATCTGACAAAAAAAAAAAAAAAAAAACAACTTATGTGTCTGCCCGAAAAAAAAAACAAAACATGAGGCTCCATAATCAGCAGTACACATAGAGTGATGGGGGGTGAGAGATGTTGAGAGAGATTTCATGTGGGCCTTTTATCCCGCTGATCTACAGAAAACAGAGCAGCAACATGTTGAGGCAAGATGGGAAAGAAGAAGTGGACGGTTTGGGATAGAATCAAAAGCATCCTCTTAGAAAAAGGTGCATCTCTGCATCGAACAGACGACTCACTCCTGTTATACCACTGTATATAATTGCTGTTGTTTCATCATGGAGGAAATAATCAAACGGTTGATGAGAGAGCTGATTGATGTAAGAAATTCAAATGAAATCTTTTCTTTGTTCACCTGAGCGTGCACGCGCTGGTGCTCAGTCTGTAGCCACACTTGAATCGTTGGCATCTAACGGCCCTTCTGAAAAGGCGCATTGGATTTTTTCATTTGCAATTTTACAAAGGATACTGATGTCGTACAACAACAGACACACTAGAACCTACACACTCACAGGTTTTCAGTCATTGACCTGCTCGAAGAACACTGCTCGAAGGCTGAGTCTAATAGCTGTTACAGTTAGATCTGCCTCCCTCTTTCCTATTGTTTTCACTGTCTCTTTTGTGTCACGTTTGTTCCCAGTTTGTCTTTGTTCCTGTCTGTGTGTCTGCTGGGCGCGGTATCCTGTTCCTCCGACTCACCTGCACAGCTGAGGCCAATCTACTACTCACCACCTGCAGTGTAAAGATCGGAAAACTTGTTTCCTCGCTCTCCAAGTTAACCTTATCTTTTGGCTGTGCCTATGTCGAGCCTCCCCGTGGTTTCAGAGTGTGCTCGCCTCGCCAAGCTCCCCAGTTGTTCCTCCAATCCGCCGCAGAAATTCCCCGCTCAGCCTGCCAGTGCTAACCCTGACTACAATCCCCAGAACCACCTGCCTAGCTCCATCGCCAGTCCCTGACCCCCAGGCCAAACCCTCACCAAACCTTCTTCTCAATAAACCTGCTTCTGAGCTGTTCAATCCAGCGTCTCTGAGTCCTGTGTTTGAATCCAGGTCTCAAAACATTGAAGAGTGATCTGGCCAAACAATGGACTCAACAGACTCAGATCCAGAACCCACCTCCCTGCAAAAAGCCATAATCAGTAAAGGAAAACTTAAAAAGGTAAATCAAATGACTCAATTACCCAATCAAGTGCCCATTCTAACCTCCCTCCGGGGGTCCGGCCTGCCCCTCCAGCGCCTCCCGCTCTGTTATTTGGTTCCCCGCCTACCAGTGAGTCACATGCTTCAGAAACTGAACCTTTTAATAAAGATCTGGATAAATGTTAGGGAGTCCTCCTGCGATGTTCTCTGCTATTTAATAAACGACCGCTTAACTTTCCTTTGGATCTATACATAGAGATATATTATTGAGGATTTTTTTCTGTACCATTTAATGGAATCAAATAGATTTTTTATTTAATCATATACAAAACTGCAATCTTTTTTTTTTTTACATACTATTATGCTCTACTTTGCTGCACACTATTCTATGTAACTGTCACTGTAATAGAGGTGAAAAGATTTTCTCAGTTACCTGAGACTACAAAAGACTACAGCTCTTCCAGTCCTTTCTTCGCGCGCTGGCGCACACACACACACACACACACACACATCCATCTATGTGTGTGTGTGTGTGTGTGTACAAATGTCTTGGCTCCAGTTCAAGTAAAAGATTTAACAGAGGCAGATTTTCTGAATTCCTGTGAAGCATTAACAATGCCTGGCTGGCAAGTGTACTGATATCTCCAATACAGTATATCCAACACATTCAGCCTCTGATGTTATTCCACTGCATTAATGAACTGTACAGCAAATGTAAAGAGGGATAACAGACACACATTTACACAAGCTACATGCAGCTGTGCACATGTATAGTGTGCACTTGCAGAAGGTACACCTATGGACCATAGATAAAGATCAAACACACCCTGACCAAACATTAAACACAAGGCAGTGTGCTGCAAAACTGAAACTCAAGGATGTAATACAGATACAAGACTGTGCATGAAAGAGAATGGCATGAAGGAATATGGTGTATCTTGATATGGTAAATTAAAGAATGCATTTCTTAGAAAACATGTTTTAGGATAAGTAGAAAAAGTATAAACCTGTCTGTATTTGTTTTTACCAAAGCTGAAAATAACACCAGTGTACCCCCCCCACCCCCACCCCACCCCCAACCAGCCCCCTCAAATATACAGGAACTGACTGAGAGCTGTAAATGGGTTTCACCTGAACTCACTTTACAGGTATGACATTGCACAATGGGTTCACTCACTGGTCAAACAGGCAGCCATTAAATACGTACACAGAAATCTTACGAAAAACAACACACGATGAAATGTAGCTGTGGTTCAACCTGATTTGTAATCCACTGTAACATTATTATTTCACAGCTTATTTCTTCATCTTCCAGTCACACATTTACATTATTGCGCTTCAAGTTCCTGGTGCTGTGCAAAAATATATATCTCCTACAATAATGTGTTTCCGACAAAGTAGTATAAGGGTTATAAAGACTTTTCCTAGTCTTTATTCTCATACTTTTTATTCATTTATTTATGAAAAATTACGATTATTTTGAAATTATTTTTCTAACAATATTTCACTGTTATTCTCAAAATCTCTGTGTCCCTGCTCCTCCGCCACAGTTTCTTCATCTCATTTTGCTGTGTGCTTTTATTTTTGCAACTACACAAGGAAATATATAAAATAGTTATTGAATGAATGAATACTAATATGATAATGAACAAAACCAACTGTTTTTTTCTCATTTCACATTATTTTCTTCAAAGAAAAAAGAAATTTCCTGGATGAAAACTATTTCAAAGGAAAATGTTTTAGCAAAACTCTAAATTCACTTGAATGACAGAGTCCTACAGCATGAAATCATTTCAAATAGGATATCATTAAAATGACCTCTATTATTTCAATTTAATTAGATTTTTGACTCCAAATATGTTTTTGTTGTTAAGCGGCAAATCCATTTCAGCTCTCCTGATAATGTATCCTCACACAGGTATGCACTGGAGTTACCTATAGTGAATGATGGAAACATCCAGACATTCAACACGTTGTCTAGACATGTACCCCCTCAGCAGTCATAATTTACCCACAGGTTTAATTAGTGACTGAGGTTGTGTTTTGAAATAGACCACACATGCATGGAATGTCTCTTCTATAGCGTATGCCATTCACAGAGGCTCTCTCTCTCTCCCTCTCTCTCTCTCTCTCTCTCTCTCTCTCTGTCTAATGGCTTTCTCCAATCTGTCAGGCTGTGCTGAAACAGAAAAGAATGGTGTTTGTGTTGATAATTACAAGGCGCAGCCATCATCTAGGGTCACGCTCGCATGTAAAACAGCCTTATTTTTCAAAAGATGATCCTGACATCGGAGCCTTGACAGTAGTGTTCACCCCACCTCTCTGTGTGGGCTGTAGGAGACATATCCTTTACTTGGTTTTCACCTGCCCTGACTAGCAAAGAGAACATCAGAATGTGCACTGATGATTTGTTTCTTACTGTATTTGTGTTTGTTAATGCATTTGGACCTATAGATCATTCATATACTATGTCAGTTGGACTCGAGAGTGTGCTTATGGGATATTAGGGATCGCATTGCAGAAACGAACAGTAACATACGTGTAGCACCGCAGGGAAGAGGACACTTAAAGTGATAGCTTGGGGTATTTGACGTGGGGTTGTGTGAGGTAGTTATCTACAGTCAGTGTGGTACCTGCAGTAGATTCAGATCATTGTGCTCCCAGTTTAGAGAAGCAGCAAGAGCACCAGCACAGGAGCTGAGTGATGTGCAGCTGTGGACGGGGCCACCAGCAAACTAATGACCTACTGTATTCCTATGCAAAAGCGCAATTACACTTAGCTCTGCCTCAAACAGCTGATCTATGGGAGTGATACAGTGTGCGCCATAGTTGCGCTTGTGTGTAATTCAACGGGTGACAAACTGTAGTTCCAAAGGAAAGGGCTGTTTGAAAGCACGATGAAGTGGTGAAAATATTCAAAATAAAGCATACACTTCAACGGATACTATTGCATAATAACATATAATGATATATACATTGTCAAGTGGCTAAAACATGTTTTGCAGATGACCTAGTCCACAGCAGAACATCACTCAGCTTCTGTACTGGTGCTCCTGCTGCTCCTCTAAACTGGGAGCGCGCTGATCCTCATTTTTCCATTCTTATTCTATACTATTCCCACCTCATCTGGTGGGAGGCAAGAACATGTGCCTGATGGACGCAAGGAGTTACTGTGTCATCTGTATAAGAATAATGACCGACATTAAGAAATCAGGGCTAAGATGTACACAAGTGCTCCTTGAACTACAGGCGGTTGTGCAGATGTTGCTTAACGCCAGCTGGTTTACAGGTGTGTGATTAGAGCGTAAGCACGTGGCAATGAAACATACACACATGCACAAAAAGGAGGACTCGCAGGTAAACACACCTTGGGGAATCTTCCCCCCCGATAACAGTGCTATGGCAGGAATGCAGGGACGGAGAGGAAAATGTTACTTATTAGAGAAAACACTCCAGGTGTCAGTGAAGTGGACGCAAACACATCCTCTATTTCTACACATAAACTCACGGAGCACATTATTAGGAACACCACACTAACACTGGGTAGTTCCTCCCTTTGCTCTCAAAACAGCCTCAGTTCTTCGTGACATGGATTCCACAAGATGTTGGAAACGTTCCTTTGAGACTCTGCTCCATGTCGACATGACTGCGTCACATCATTTCTGCAGATGCGTCAGCTGCACATTCAAGCTGCCAATGTCCTTGTTTTACCGCATCCCAAAGGTGTCCCGCTGGATCGGATCAGATCAGGTGACTGGGGAGGACGCTGACGTTCACTGAACTCACTGTCATTTCCACAGCTCTAACAGCATGGGATCCACTGACCCTAGATATTCATTCTTTCATTGATGCACTCACTCTTTCATCCGTTCACTAATACGTATTGTAGGACAAAAGCCAGCTCAAGCTCACCGTTACTGAAGTTGGCAGTTTCCGCCCTCACGCATGAGTACAGTCTTATTTCAGTTAATGATTAATGTAGAGACTAACCCAGATACCTTTGCATAGGCGTGTAGGGAAAGGGAAGTATAATACACTTCATCAGGCCATTTTGATTGGTGTGCTAAAAGTAAAGACATTAATTTTTTCCATTAACTTTGATGAGATCACTGTTAAATCTCCTGAGAAACACAAACACAAACACTGATACATGGGGGACCAGGGGCCAAATCCTACAGTTAAACAAAGACATTTAACAGCGTCTGTGCTTTCTATGTGTGTGTGTGTGTGTGTGTGTGTGTGTGGCCCTTTTCAAAAATGCCCCTCAGTCACCAATTAACCCTGCGAGGGCCCTTCCTGCTTCAGATCCAGCTCTCCTGTCAGTAGCCTGTCATTTACTACACATTCCACAAATACCCCGGATTCTCACAGAGTTTCCAAATCCTACATGCTGACCCAATAAACCCGGGTTTAAATGACCACGGGTGATTTAACATCATGAGTTGGATGGAGCTGCTCTGCAGCTAATGTCCACACTGGAAATCAGGTGTGGATGCAGACATGTGTATCAACCGAGACATTATTTCATGCTCTTTTTAGACTGGATTAAAGTTTTTGATGGGGGGGGAAATTTAGAAACTTTAGACGTTAGAAGCAGGTGAGAAACTCTGTTTCTGTATCGTGAGGAGGAGAGCAGCAAGAGCATTTTTTATTTGAGTAGAGTTCTTAATATCTTAAGTCTTAAGTTTAGATTGGGAAAATGTAAAGGGAGTATTCGAGAAGCAAATCATAACTAACTTCAGGAATTCTATCTTGTCTTTTTTCATCCTGATTTATCCCAGGTTAGGAATTCCTAAAAACTCAATCCAACATCCGTCATCAAATGATGTCTGTTACCTAGCAACCAACACTACTTTCAGCATCTCATCTTGCTGAGGTATTTTAGGTATTGGGCTATGTTACCTATTAGATTTCTCACTGAAACGTACAAAAAATGGTTTCTTTACACTGAACATCTCCATTCACAAAAAAACGAAGCGTATTTGTCAGTTGCACAACAACCAGGACCCATGCTGCCGGGTCGGCAATGAAAGAATATATTTATGAGCCTTCAGTAGGTGACACAAGTGCGCTTTGGTACAGACAGGGTAGGTAAGTCAGAGGGTCTTATGATATGGACTAACACATTTTAGACTTTTCATGGGATTTGATGGCAATAATAAAAACAAAACCTGGAGTATCACCAGCCTTATCCCTGAAGATAAAGATAAAGAAAAAATTTGTTTGGACCAACACCAACACATCACCACAAACCCCAATTTCTAAATGTCACTGTTCAGTTATATGATACAGGAAGCAACGGTCAGAGGTGGCACCAACAGAGTCAGTAGATATTGACTGGAGGGGATTTGGTCCCAGCGCTGTGAAATGAGGAGGAAGACAAATCCACTTGATTTGAAAATGTTTGTTTGAGTTGCATGAATTGAACAGGAAACAGGAGCAGACAGGAGTATGTCTGCAGTAGGAGTCCATCTGAACTGTCAGACAGACAGATGGTTGACTCATGCAGTATCAGTCATCCGCTGTTCGTGGCAAAAACATACACACCACAAACCAACTGCAGCGGTCAAAGCCAGCAGAACATTCATCTCACTTTGTATTTAAATGCAGCTTTCTTTTTATCCTGAAGTGAGAGAGAAGAAGGGCAATCCATTTCCATCCATCCATTGTTGAAATGTCACTGCATGAGCAATGTGCTGTTCTCTATATGGTGGCGAATCAAGTGACATAATTATTATTATCATCATTTAGGGTCCTGCTACCCCTTCAGTTAGTCGGGACTTAGAGGCAGCATCAACTCAGCAAAGGAGAGTTAAACCTTCACTTCCTGTTTGCTAGAGTGAACACAATCCAGTACAAACACCTGCGGTTACAACTCAATCCTGTGATTAGTGTGCATGAAATAATGATGGATTAGACCTAATGACAATGCAGGGAGAGGATGAATCTGTGAAGATATCCTTTAGATGGGAGTCTACTAAAGCAAAAATAACAACACCACACTTAACATGCTGTCATGCTGCTGCAGACACACATCAAGGGATTTGATTTGAATGAAAAGATGTGTCCTGCTGCTATTAATCTTCTCACACTGTTCCACCAGTCGCTAATAGCTCGATGTCACATGGAGATGAAGATGAGTGGGAGTAAGTGACACTGCTCTGATGTTGAGATTCTGAACATGTGTGACTGAGGTATCACATCAGTTTTCAATAGCCAACGAGCAACAGAGACGTCAAAATAACAACCAATTATCTTTTGGCTTCTTCTTTTTTTCCTATAAAAATGCTTAATATAAAAATGTGCTACCACTATCAGTTCTGATAAAGTGCAGCTCAGTTTATCTCCTTCTGACAGTGGCTGGTTTGGCATAATTGTATTTCTCTGTAGAGTTCTCTGACATTGAATCGCTCAGCTGGTCCTTGTCTCGCGCTCTCGCTCTCTCTCTCTCTCTCTCTCTCTCACACACACACATAAACACATTGAAGACAGACCTGTCTGTCAGTGTGTGTCAGTGTGTTGCATCAGAGGACTGCCAAAAAATCCAGTTTCTACCATCCCTGTCTGTTTGTCTACCGGCCGTCTCTGTGCGCCTGTCATTCAGGGTGCACACAGTGTGTGCTGGGAGTGGGCTCACTGGCCAATCAAAATATGTAATTGTTATTTGACACAAGGTGAAGCAATGGAGCTCAATACATTATTCAATTATTTATTATATTACATTATTTAGATTATTTAATAATCAGTTTACAGGTTAGGGTTACTCCTAACCCTTTTATTTTATTATATAGTCGATTAAACAGATGGCTTTCTTAACAGCTCAAAATTGGTGGTTGATGGTTTTTAACAACAGTTTAGCTTTTCACAAATTCATTGCTTATCTACTATGACAAAATCCTTTGGTTGGTCTGCTTTGCTGTTACACTACAAATCAAGCCTCTTTTTTCAGGTGGTCTCAGCCTAAATGAGATGTAACAGCACTTCTACACAAAGACAAAGACAAAACTGAACTATGACTTGAACTCACCCAACAGGAGGAGGCTCAGGGGCAGCGTCATGATGGGCATCAGAACTTGATGCATGGACACCAAGCTGTCTCTGGCTGTAACAAACAGAGACAAATAATTTGAGCGTGTGACAATAAAGAAATCAATAAAAACAAAGAGGCCTCATTTAGTAAAACATCCAAGTGCAGCTGGCAGGAGAAAAAAAAGAGGCCGGGATAATCACAACAGACAGTCTGTATTTTACACCAGCGGTACTGTGCAAACATTTCTCAAACAATGTCCACCAGGAACCAGAAAAGATTCTTTCCATTAACCTTCTTTCCATTAACCAGTTGGTAAAAGCTTTACAGGTCTTAACAATGGTCTGGTTTGTCCACAGTAAATAGTATTATTATATTACCTTCAATTTGTTAAAGCAATAACTGGTACTAAAAGAACTACAGCTGTCACTGTTGTGTAGTTCAGGGTTTTGTCAGAGGTAGAAGGGTCTCGATTGTGTTGTGACACAGAGGAGCACGACGGCCTCATGTATAGTCATGTTACACACTAAACCTGTGGTTAAAGGAAGGCAAGAGGACAGAGTAAAGAAAGGACTGACTTGCTTTAGAAAGCTTTTGCAGCCTAAATAAGCCATTCAAGTCAAGAAGGAGAACTGCTTTGTTGCCTGACAAATGACAAATCAAATGTCTTCACTTAACCTTACCCACCAATCCAGGTTTGTGACCTAAAGCAGGTCTCTGTTGGAAAGTATTTTCCACACTCAGCTTGGTAAGGAGGTGTAGCTTAGCTTGCTACATTTCCAGCTTCAATGTCGAGAAGCTTCAAGGGTAACTGTTATAGCTTAGTGCACTGCACTTTCCAAGTGGCTCACCCAACACTGATGGTTTCACTCAGACCACAGACCTCGACCACAACCTGCTGCTGAACCATAGCGAAGGAAAAGTTCTCAGTTCTCAGCTCTGAGAACTTTCTTCCTTTTGGAAAAAAAACTCTTTGGTAGCTGCAAAATTTTCTGATGAGAAATGCCTTGCCTTCCTAAACAAACTAGCGGCAGCGTCAGCTGACCTAATGATCTGAATGCAGGGCCTCAGGGTAAAAAGGCATCATTCTTGAAAATGAAACATGGATCACAGAACTGTCGTTGTGGTTCACTCATCTGGACAATGATCACGAAGGGTCAGGGGTCATTCAGTGGAATGCACATGTAGATTTGTATTTGCCTGAAAATCAGATTTCAGTGGATTAGAAATCCTTCTGCAACTTGATGGGAGTGGGAAGTGAATTGGAGGGGTCACTGATTGATGTCGCAGCTCATCTTGCTCTGAAGCAGAGGTTCACAGAGAAGCCACTGGCTGAAATTTGTATATCAGCAAGAGATGAATACTGCGAAGTGAGTGACAGGGCACAAACAGATCTTCCTCCATTCACATTAACCTATCTATATGAGAGTGGCTTCCCAGCTCTGGTCTGCCTGAAAAACAAGCACAGAGCCCGTCTCAGCCACAAGTGGAATACCTCACTGCGTCCAAGTAACCACAACCACTGAGTGAGCTAAACTTTATACATTTAATTTCATTATGTTATCTTCAAAATATTTTTATCCTCAAAATGGGGTCGCACTGCAAAAAGGTTAAGACCCACTATATTATAGACTGAGAAAATGGTCCTGCTTCTTATGCTAAAAAAAACATTTAAAATTTGAAGGAGTTACATTGTTTTCACAAACAACGACATTATGCAAAATATGATCTTCACTAACTAATTATGAGGATGAAGCTTCATTTCTGTACATTGAACTGCCTTTTTCAATGAAGTGCAGCTTAATACACAGTCAGATATTTAAAACAGGGGCTTTTTATATTTCTAAAAAGCGATGCAGAGAGAAGAGACACAAATGAGGAAAAAATGAAAGATGCAAAAGTTGGAAAAGAAAGGAAACAAGGTGCAACTGATTCGAAGAAGACAGTCAGAGAACGATTCAAAAGTGTCCCAGGAGTCAGCTGATGGAAACACATGCTCAAGTTAGAAGAAAGTAGAACTGTTAATAAGGTCTAATCTATTTTAAGCAATATTCTTAATCCAAATTATTGCTACGTTAGTTTTGTCTAGAAGATTGTGTTTGAATCAAGGCAGAGGGAATAGCTCCATCTCCTCATCCATCATGGCCCTCGTGGGCTCGCAATAGAGTGGCTGAGATAAGGTAGGGTGGTAAAGCCACTGCAGCCCTGGTGCAGAGGAACCCCCTTACTGCACAGTCTCCAATCTGAGAGGAGAGATCTGCAAAGAACTGTGTCACTAAAGAGTTCCAGAGATGAAGCAACTGGTAAATAATTTAAGGAATATTACAAAATGACCTTCCTACGTTACACTTCATGAAAATCCAACAGTTGCCGAGAGACATGAAGATAATAATTATTTTTTAAATGAGCTATTAATTATTCCACAAGTGATTGCTATGGATTTGAAAAACCATTTGTTGCAATGTTAAACAACAACAGCTTAATAGTTAAAAGAGTTTAGAGTTTAACCAGAGGCGACAGTGGTGCTGACAGCACAAGGTCGCTGTTTAATCTAAAATCTTCACCAGCAGACGAATCCAAAGAAAACACTATAATATAGAAAGAGTTTCACCTGACGTTATAATAAAGAAAACAATGTAAATGTAACAGTCACAGTGTAATATCCACTATCAGTCCAGCGTTAGCAATAACTGATTCTAGTTTCATACTCACACAGCCACAGGTCACCTCTCTCTCCTCTGCACTGCGTGGTCAGAGTTGCTCACTCTGTGTCTCTGCAGGCCAACTTCGCTTGACAGTGTGTATGTGTGTGTAGATTCCCGTATTCCAGCGTGCACGTGTGCAAACCCCTGGACCCCAGTGTGTATATTTACGCATGCATGCACATGTGTGGTGAGTATGTGCGCCAGAATGTGTAAAACAAACTTGAAAGCACAACTGATGGCAGCGATGTAAAAACAGAGGGAACGCCGCCGGCCAATGGGAACACGGCATGTGCAGGACCCCTTTCATTCCTCTCCTCCCTCTGCTTCGCCCTCCCTCGCTCCCTCCAGCTCGTCACTGGGGCACTGGGGTGAATGGGCAGCTATTCTTATTCTAATTCTTCTGTCACTCTGTGGGCCACTGGCTCAAAGAGGGGAATGGTCTCCAGGCTTTTGGAATGCACCACCCCTTTCTTCTGGACACGAAGGGAGAGTGAAGGGCGAGAGAGGCAGAGGAAGTCAGGGAAAAAGAGAACGAGAGATAGTTAAAAGAGGAAGAGACGGAAGAAGAGGAGGATGGAAAACTAATGGGGAAAAAGTATGAGGAAAGAGAGAGAGAGTGAGAGGAGGGAAACTGACAGAGACATTTTGGGGGTAAACTAGGAATCAGTGCTGCACCAAACCCACACAACAGCACTCTCAGGGCATTTAGCAAGAGGAGCCGACCAACAGATAAAAGCTTCACCTCTACTCTGACCAGCCCTGATCCGTTCTCTGCGCTAAATGTCTGCACTCTCCCCCAAACACTTCAAGAGCTTGAGGAAGAAAATGTAGAAACTTTCTACACATTTTTTAAGATTTAATTTGAGATTCTTCTCCAAAAGTCCAAAGTCACAGCCTTTGAACTTTATTTGCTTTCTACTCTCATGTCTGTCAGTTAAATATGATGCTAATGCTAGCAGCTGGTTAGCTCAGCACAAAGACTGACTCAAAAATCAACCTACCAGCACCTTTGACGCACACTAATTAACATTTTATATGTTTAAATCACACACATACCAAAGTGTTAAAACAAATGTTTTAAGAGCAGTTGCCAGGCAACCAGCAAATGACAAAACACAGACCAATCTGCTGCAGAAGTATATGTGCTATAATAAAGCAATAAAACTTAATTTTAACAGATTGATTCAAGTTAAGCATGTGGATTTCATGTTGATTCATCCCTGCCACCTCCAGTCAGACTAAAAAACAGGGATGTGATAAGATGAGACGTCAGACCGGGGCCTTTGGGGTCAGCTCCATTCATGACGCAACTGAGCCATGACTAGATAATAAAACTATAAAGAGAAAGATGTGTGTTTGAGCCAGTAGGATATCTGCACATACGGGTTATGTGCCTACATATGTGAGGTTCAGGCTAGACAACTGAAGAACTGCAGGAGAGAACAAAGCAGCTTTCACATTTGTAGTGTCCTTCCAATGTGACCTTTGACCTCTGCTTTAGATGGAGCAGGAGAGGCTGAATTAACATGTCACACAGCAACCAACACAGGGAAAACTGAGATTTCCCCTGGTGTATAAATGCAACACCTTCTCCAAAAGGACTGCTGTCACAAACCTAAGAAAAAGGCCTGAGCAATATATAATATCAAATTAAAATTGAATACCCTTTCAGGTAGTGCTCCAACAGTCCAGTCTACACCTATATCTATATATAATCTGTAATCTAATTCACAGGCAAGCATTTAATAAAACAAGTCAGACTGTATACAGTCTAATTAGACTGTTAGTTAAGTCTTTTTGCATACTTAGGTGGTTAGTAGCCAATATGTGGCTTTATGTATATATGTTATTAATATGTGTTAACAATATTTTTATATATAACATGGTTCTGAATGCATAAATGTTGTACAGTCAAATCATATATATATATATAGAGTAAAGTAAACTGACAATGGACGGGGGGGGGGATGTTTCTCTCAGAGACCTTGAACAAAGACTTTGACTCAAACTCTCTCACACACACACTATCACTACAATAAGATAAGAGGAAACCCGCAGACAGTGTAGGTCCACCTCTATAACTTCTGTGCAGCAGTGAGACAACGCCAAGAAATCTTGAGACACTAGTCCAAACAATCCCGGGCTCCCATATCCTTGAACACCAAAACACGATAAGCCCGACTCTGTGTGTGTGTCTGTGAGTTTGTGTACACATCGGATGAAGGCCTTCAGACTGAGACACTCAACACACTGCCAATGCGCAGCAGCTTGACACACTGTTGTTAAGGTACTGTAAAACAAGGCCGGGCTGGAAATGGGATCAGATCATTCAGGTGAGATCATGGAGGAAGTTTGCACAGGCAGGTGACT